ATTTTACGTATATGACAAAAATTAATTAAATCCTAAAACAAAAGAATTAGACTACGAGGGAGACTTATGATGACTTACCAACGAACCCATCACAGCACCTTGCTTTGACACCCATCTAAGCATAAACTTCCGATACCACTGCATGTACCCGTCTTGGTAACTCATAGGTCTCGTCTCCGACATCCCTTGGACCACCCAATTCCCTCTATTCTCCCAAAGGTTGATGTAGAATTGATGCTTTAGAAGCCAATTCTTTGCCTAGTGTTGGAGGTCGATGGCATGGAGCTCCGTGAAACCTTGAGGTGGGTTTTGTGGAATTGGTTGCTCCAATCGATATTGCCTCAAGGATCGATCGGGTAGGTGCCACTCCACAATGTGCCAGCATATTAATGGCACCTTGCACAACCACGTCTCGTGATCCTGGGGTGTCTCAGATGATGAAGCTCGACTACTTCACGTGGATATGGGTCCCATGTAACCTGTACTCACTAATAATTTGCAATTAGTGACCAATTACATTCACAAAAAATTAATTCGTTAAAATATTGTAAAGCATGATTACCTAGTTCCACCAAGACTTATCACACTCAGCACGATAAAACAGTAAAGAGTGCTCAGGTTGATGGTCGTTTGTATTTGCTCCTATCCCTCTTGTAAGTAAAAGTACGGATATAAGAAATTTTTGAAGCATTGAATAAATTTAAACTTGGGTTAAGTACGAAATAAATTTAAATCTAGCTAATGTAATTTAAAGCAAGCAAAGGATGGAATAAATTTGCAATAAGGATAAATACAGAATATATTTAATTTAAATCTAGCTAAGCATGAACTAAATTTGGAATTAGGCTAAGTACGGAATAAATGTAATTTAAATCTAGCTAAGCACGGAATAAATTTAAATCTAGCTAAATCTTGACACCATGGGGGGATTTTGCCGATTTCATAGCTCATCATCTGCTCTCCATAATGGACGTGGGTCTTGAGGTGCGAGCATTGGAAGATGCTCCCATACCCAAAGCTGGAGGATGAACATCGCAGCACCAGCTTGTTTCGCTCCCACCTTCGAGCGAGTACACAGCTCCCTATATATGCCAGCTAACACGGCCGATCCCCAGCTCTTTTCCCCGATCGCGTCCCAATCACCAAGAAGCATTGGCAACCATATGCCTTGAATCCACCGGTTCGACTTGTCGGGGAACAAAAATCCACCAACCAAACCAATGAGGTAGATGCGTGCATAGCGCTCCACTTGATCTTCCGGAGTCTCTGGGCCGATTTCAATCTCATTTGGATGTGAGTAACAAGCCACGGGATCGGCACTTGTCCTGCATTCAATGGTGGATGCCCCCATCCTTGAATTGGTCTGGTGGTCGACATGTAAAAGCTCAAACGATCACGAATGAGTGGACCCCAACCTGCATCGGGTTTGGTAGTGGTACCAATGATGGCATCTCCAGTTATCGGCATCCCGGTGAGGATTGCGACGTCTTTGAGGGTGATCGTCATTACCCCCTCCGGAAGGTGGAACGTATGGGTTCCATTCCCGTAAGCAGATCGTTGCCGATTTCAATCGGCTTGAAATGCCGCAACATACCCAACCCAGTCCTCTCTATATACGACGACACTCGATCATGCCAAGCGGGCAAGTTAGTGGTCCTTTTATGAATGACGAGAATAAGTGGTTCATACAAAAATAGAAAAAAACATCGTTTTGTTAGTTAAAAGAAAGCAAAATAAAACCTTACTAAATTATGAAATAAAGTAAATTGTTGATAAGGTACGTAATGCTTACCGGATTGTTGTGCCAAATTACACGGGAGTGATGTGCTTCTTGATCGGTTAAATACTTCGTATCTCTTGGCCCATAATGGATATACAATCGAGGATCATATATCTCGGCACCCATCTATAAATAAAAGTAATCAAATCAAATTATTTTGATTAAAACAAGGCAAAATACACTTTCATAGCCATAACTATTCGCGTTGTGACAAATATAGCCAGTTTTTGAAAAATACACTCGTATAGCCATTCCGCCCAATACTTTAACGGACCAAATACGGATGCTGACTAGACTAACAGTTATCAGGTTAACTGATGACGTGTCACTTGATTTATAATTTTTTTGCCACATCAAAAAATTGAATTTTCACACATAATTAACTAAAAAACAATACATTAAAAAAAACACCAAAAAAGACTAATCTCGTTGCTTTCCCTCTCCCTGCTCCCTTGTTCCCTCATCCGAACAAATAACCAAAATCTAATCCCTAATTTCAATCTCTCTTTCTCCCCACGAATAACAAAAATCTAATCCCTAGTTTTACTTGCTTTCAACAAGAGCGAATTCCTACTTCCTCATACCATCCTTTACTCTTCTCTTCCGGTGGCAAAGATGAAGAATAAGCAGGCCAAGAATCGCAATCGTCGTCTGGTCTACGCCGATTCTACTTAGTGCCTCGGCGAGCTCCATTCCCGAGATATTGATCCTCGGCAAATCTGGGAAACGCCTCCATAACCTTCCCCGTTGCACAAAGATCGCTCTGATGCTTGGTCCCCTTCATCGTAACCTCTCCCGCGCCCACAACACCCACCAAAACCTCTCTCCCCAGTTCATCCGCCAAGCCCCAAATCCTCGCCAGATCCCTTCGAGTCTCGCCCCTGCATTTTTTTCGACAAGGACAACAAGATCAGGGATTCGTCAGGGATGAGCGACAAGAAGAAAGCCGGAATCGCGGTGGGGCTGGTGGAGGCAGTGTGCGTTGTCGGATTCGGCGGATGGTCTCCAACCAGTCAAATTCGCCGAATCGATCTTCCCTCGTGGCGCTGCTCGCCATCGTCTCCCACTGCCGGCCACCATCAATCTGCTCCTCTCCGTCGCACCAGTCCCACCAGCCAACAGATGAGGCTAATGATGACGACGTTGAGGATCTGCAATTGTTCACCAGATCTGGGAAAAAAAGGAAAGATTAAAGAAAATTAAAAATTAAAATGTTATTCTAAAAAATTAATTTTTGGAGTTTATTTTTATTTTTTAAAATACGACGTGGATGCCACGTGGAATGATGAGTCTAGTTGGAGATGATGTGTCATCTAGGTGGCATCCACATCAGTTTAACATCCACTTAACTGACAAAGTTGTTGACGGTGTTAAAGTTTGTAACGGAAATGGCTAAAATTGTCAAGCAAGTTTCAAAAAGTGGCTACATTTGTGCATTTTTCAAAAACTGGCTATATTTGTCACAACGCGAATAGTTATGGCTATGAAAGTGTATTTTGCCTTAAAACAATCACAAAATCAAATTGGAAAGATAAAAAAATCACAAAAGAACAACCAAGAACCTACCCGAAGAGCCTCTTCGTCCATATTTTGGCGAAAGCCGAGGTTCGACGGGTTTTTAAGGGACGGGGGCTTTAGGGTATAACTCCAGTAATTCTTTCTGATGTGGAAGATCGGACTTAGCCGCAACCACAGAGCATACTTAGAACGGGACTAGAGTGGATGAATGGAGGGAGAAAGAAATGTAATGTGGTGGTGTGATTTGGAAGAGGGGGAATGGTTCAAATTATAGGGGGAGGGATCTGTCGAAAATTAATGCAGAGCCATCACCGTCTTCGACAAACGCGGTGAATAAACCGCCTTTCTCGAACACGTTGAATGGCGAGGATCGATGACGTGGGAGCCTGTGAGGCTTCGGATCTAGAAAGAAAACCAAAATCCGCGCCTCACTACATCCAACGGCAGCGGTGAAGCCCCGCGCGACGCGGATCACTGACGTGGACAGACGCGGGTTAGTCACCGTTTTTTACTAACGCGGTAAATTCCACGCGTTTGTCCACGCTAGCGATTTGCGCCAGATTCATCGTGGCCGTCAGATGCGGGGAAATAATCACCGCTTTCATTTAAAACGGTGAATGCATTCACCGTTTTAAATAAAAGCGGTGATTGGTTCCCTGCACTTTCACCGTTTTACTCAGCCGCGGTGAAGCGTTCCCCGTTTCATCAAAACGCGGTGATTTGTTTCACCGCGTTCGTCAAAAACGGTGATGTTGTTCACTGCCTTTGACAAAGGCGGTGATTGTGAAACATATGTAGATTGAGAATTTTTTATATAACTTATGTATTTTGGAAATTTTTTTAATTACTATGTATTTTGGGATATTTTCCTCATATTTCTCTTGTTTGGACTATTCTTCAACTAATTAAATTTGATCTTTCAATTAGTTAGACTCAATTTCTCATTCTTCATTAAGTGTTTTCTTTTTATTGTAAAATATAAAATTTTACGTTTTTTTTTCTGAATAACATGTAAGAGTGATTGAACGACTCATACCCTATATTCGCATTTCGCACGAGTATTATCCACCTTGACCCACACAAACTGCGGCCTGCGGGATGCAGATTGAATATGGGTATTGACCCACTTCACCCTATTGCCATAGAAGAAAAATCGAAATATAGTATGTGGCGTTCTCGTAAAACTACAGTCGTTTGATAAAAGGGTTATATGTATAATATGCCCCTTTATTATGATGTTTTATCAAACATGCCCCTTTACTATTTTTTACATCAAACATGCCCCTGTAATTTGGAAAAACTATCAAACATGCCCTTCAATTGAAATTTCCATCGAAAAAATCGGCAATCATGGTTGAACCGATATTTAGACGACCTAACATCGATAAATGGGAGGGGAAATGTCAGTTTTGACCCTTGTTTTATTTCTCTAGGTCTCATCAAAGTGAAATTATTAGAATTATTTGGCTATACAAAAGAACAAAAAAAACTTTAAAGTGAAATTATTGGGGATATTTTAGATATTTGGGTCGCCCAAACCAAAGTTCGGTCTTGGTTAACAGTTTTTGGATGAAAATTTTAACAAAAGGGTATGTTTGATAAGTTTTCCAAAGTACATAGGCATGTTTGATGTAAAAAATAGTAGAGGGGCATGTTTGGTAAAACATCATAATAAAGGAACATATTATACCTGTAACTCTCCATAAAACAACTGTCCTCGCCCAAAATACCGTCAAAATCTGTCCACCGATCTGCCTCCGTTTCTGGGTCAAATAACAGCAGCCGTTGGATAGCTTTCGTGATTTGGCCTACCTTAAATATTTCTCCTAATCCCATTCGTTTATCATCTCAGACTCAGAGGTCGGTATGTTTCTTCCATATATATGCCATCCATAGCTGGCGCCATATTTGTCGATTCCGAGCTTCAATCTCGTTGAGAATATGTTCGAAGCGTGGGATCTTCCGTTCTATAGATCAGCCTCTTGGCTATGGCTCCCCGACCGCTAATCTTCCAGCTGTTCGATTCAGCGGGAGGATTCTAAGTCCTGGTAGATTTGCAGGCGTTGTCTTGTTCCTGACATGGATCTGTAGATCTCAACCTGTTAATGCCTCCATAAACTTGCTTCCACAGAGGTACATATTATTTTCTGTGAGGGGTTTTCAGCTTGTTTGTAGATCCGTTCCTTTTTATTTTCGTTTACAATTTCTTCGAGGTCTCATTCATTCGAATCTGATATCAATATTTGAGCTGGATTTGATATTTTGATTGTCGCTTTGTGTTCTTGGTAATTTGGTGTTGACGGATTCGAATTAGAGATGTGTATTGATGTTTGCTTCTATTGGAAATTGTGTGCATAGATAGGAGTTTCCTGGCCTAATCGATTGGCGATTTGTTTTTGTTATCTTTAGGCACTTTGTCCTCCTGCTGTGGCTTCTGGGCGAGCTAGAGGGAGCCGCAAGGAGCTTGGGTTATGCTGCGACGGGTAATCGGTGTACATCTGCTGGTGGTTGGCTTGCCATCTACCGATCGATGTCCAATTCAACCATCTTCAATCTATCCGAAGCTGGATGTCCTCGCGAGGGTTATTACCGGTGCGAAAGGGTTTGTGATTTTATTTGTGTCTATGTTAATTGTTTGAACTGTTTATGGTACGGTGTTGGGGTGCTTCCCCTCTCTGGGAAGTGGAGGATGGATGAACCGGGCAGGTAGACTTTAGGGTATGTTGTTTGAAGCGTTAATTGTGCTCTGTGATGTCGTGAGTCAGTCGGCCTTTGCCATGATGGGTGCGCTCGCATGGCAGGTCACTAATATCCTAATAAAAGAGATGCTTTTTGGGGTTTGGAGGAGGGAGATGGCACAGGGGAACTTTTTCCGTTAGTGAAGTTTCTTCTACCCCGGCTCTCCCTCTTCCATGTGTGTGTGTATGCTCTCTTCTCTCCTTTTCCCTTTGGCTTGCTCCCCACCGTCCACGGTTACTGTGTCATTGCATGCCTACTGTCAAACATCTTCGCTAGGCAAGCCGGTCATCATATGCAGGCAAGCAAGCAATCAGGATAACTCCTTGAAAGGTACAGATCACCTCATCCTTGCCTGCATTTTTACAACTAGTTCATTAATAACTAGCGAATTGATCATCGCCTGGATCTTTTAGTCTTATCCATTGTGCATAGGAAGAGAAGGTTTTGACAGGACTTAATTTGTTTGGGTAAATATCTTAGTTATAAAAAAGTTTTGATGTCAAAAAGTTTTGACAGGACTTAATTTGTTCTACATCCTCATGTAATTGGGATGCTGTACTTAATCTATTGGGTTAGGATGATGAAAAACATTTGCACTTAATTGGGATACAGTAGTTTTTCGTCCAACTTTGACCTACATATATGCACGGTACCTGAAACGGATATCAGCAGTGTTTCATACTTACGCTATGAAGAGCTAAAACTAATTTGCACTAGTACTTCCCTCCCACAAACAGCCCAAAAGTACGGCCGAGTCCCATCTAAACGATGTTCAATCACTCGTGCTTTTCAATATCTATGGCTTGCTTTGATTTCTTGCTTCTCTATCAGCCTTCCATTTTGAACGAACTCTCCAGTTTATTGTGCTTGGAACTTTTTGTGCTATTTTAGTGTCCATTGCTCCATTTTTAATGTTAGTATGGGGGCAGATGTAAAATCTATAGTGGATGTGATGTAACACTGGTAAGGAAAGTGCAGTTGTGTTGTACTGGTTGCCTTTTGAAGGCCTTTCAATTAGGTTGTAAAAGGGGACTTCATCAACTGATCTTGGGCAATGTGGCGAGGTTGTGCTGCTTCTTCATGTTGGGTATGGAGGATCCTTTAGCTGCTGCTGCTGCTGCTTTGCTGGATGCTGTTGTGAGATCTGTATCAGTAGTGGCATCAGTTAATATGGTGAGGTGTTCATTATGCTTTTGTTCTTATACTTTGCCCGACCGTTGAAAGTAATTTATCTCAGAGGTACTGATTGTTGGTTCGATTGCAACACAGGGGGAATATGATGTGTACCTGGTTTCTGTGATGAGCCGGTAGATTATATGTGTACTGGACATAATGCTCATGTTCTTGCTTGGTGACGGAGCGTTCTCTACGATTCTGTAAAAGCTGGATGGTTTCAATGCATTGGAGATGATGTCTCTCAGCAGAGCGCAAACTATGAAGTCATGTTACTTCCGGTTCTGCCATCATGTGGTCCAGAGATGGTTAAAATTAGTTCAAGTCGTCAAGTGGCATGCCTCCATCTATGAATATTGCAGTTCCTTTTGTAAGTCCTCGAATCAGAATTCCAATTTACAACCCTTGATCGGTGAAATTCTTGTTTAGTCCATTCGTTGGGTGCACAGTTGGAGGAAAATCACATGTTCTGGGATCATTCTTGTAGACTGGATGCTCAGATGTGATTTCTCGGTGAAAGTTCTCCAGTAATGATCCCTCATGGGTTGGGCGCATTAGCGTTTTATTTTCTTGTTGATTAGTTCATTGCATTTGAGCTGTGTCTTCATTTCCTTTGGTTCTGATTGTTAGTAGAGTTGAATATAATGGTGTAACAGCGTATCCTTGTCGGTTGAAGCTGCGACTCACTAATGTTTTGGCTCTCGCTGTTCAGCCAGGTCAATGCATTGTTTTCCTAGCTCCTTGTCCTTCCATGCATGTTTCCTTCATTTAGTTTACTTGTCTGGCTGGTATGCTAGCATGCTATTAAAATCTGGTAGTGTCTGTTGAGAATCCGGTAGCACGAGTCCCCCGGTTTCCTGCGTCTTTAGGGAGAGAGGAAGGGTCTGATGCTCAACAGTTAGGCGCGAGCAAAGTATGGATGTGGCTAATAAGGGAGAGTTAGGGGCAGTTGCATATGTTGTAAACTCTAGCGGGAAAAAAAATCAGTTGTCGGCCATCCTGTTACTCGTACCCGCTGGGTGCATTTTGGGTAGTTTTTTAGTTAATTGTCATCGCGTATATCCAACCGATAGTATGTTTTTCTAACTGCATAGCCAAAGCCTTGCAAATAAACCTCTGCAAGCAACACATACACATTTTATCTGAAAGAGTCTGGTTATGGGTCGTGTGACATGCCTAGCTAGCGATAGATCCATAAGCTCAAAACGGATAGAGCGTCCAAAAGCCTATTAGGCTCGCGGGAAGGATGGTGGTTCGAATCCACCTGGGTCCTGATTCTATGGTTTCCTTTGTCTGAGTAACAATTTGATCTGCTAGTGAAAAGTCCAATAGTGGGCAGCAAGCAAGGGATAATTTTGTAAATATATTGTCATCGCTTCCATCCAACGATCTTTGATGTACAAGTGCAATCCCGCGAGTAGACGTCGGTCCGTCCTGTAAGCACCGGGCGGACCCAAGGGTGGGAAGCGCTGTTCCTTTCCCTCGTCGGTCGGGCAGTGGGTGAGGTGTTGCTTGCTGCGTTGTTGCCGAGTCACGGATATGTTTGGAGGTGTACGTTCCGGCGAGCTCCACATCTACCCCGACAGCGACCGGCGCAGGCTGCGGAAATCACGAAATGTCAACTTCTCTTGGGTTATAGCTTTCGGCTACAGTCTCGCTTTCATTCACTACTTTCCTATTTTGTTTTCTTCTCTGCTGTCATGTGGTGTCTTCTCTCTATCTTCTCTTCCTTTTGAGATATTTTCTTCATTGTGGAATGACTCTTGTTTGCATGTTAGGTCAGGAAATAACGATGGATATCTTTCATGGATCCAAATGAACCACACAAGTTATGTAAACTCGTCCTCACTCTTTGTTCTTTAGCTTCGAGAGCTTGTCAATAACTTTTCATAAAAAATAAAGGGTAAATGTCATATTTAGTCAATGGAATTACTAAATCGTGTTATGTTTAGTCATTAAAAAAAAATTAATATCAATTTTGATCACTCGAATAACTAAAATAGGTCACATTTAGTCACTCTCCCGTTAAGCTTCGTCCAACTTCGGTCACTTGAATTACTTTTTCTTTTATGAATACCACTCGAATTACTGAAACATGTCACATTTAGTCACTCTCCGTTAGCCTATGTCCAATTCCGTTAATGGAGTTGGACGGAAACTAACGGGAGAGTGACTAAATGTGACATGTTTCAGTAATTCTGGTGACCACAATTGATATTAATTTTTTATAGTGACTAAACATAACATGATTTAGTAATCTCAATGTGACATTTAGCAAAAAATAAAGAGGTTGTCAATAACTTACATTCCACTGTTTAGATTGAAGTCCCTTTTATATGTGGTTTTATTTATTTCTCAATACAGTTGTGCTAAAGATGTGCTGCCAAATTTTACAAAACGACCATTAAACCTTGGAATTGCTGAAAAGGGGGTCACTAAATTTTAACTTTACAACCAACTTTTATATCATTGGCTCAAAATTTCCAACAGTATCACGTTTGATGCTTGAAGTCATGCATATGTTACCAACATTATAAGCTTAACAGGTACGGATCCTGATTCGAGCTTTGTGTATTCGATCTTTTGGAGACGTGCTGAATCTATGGAGAGGAAGAGGTAGTATTTTGGGATCGATATACGAGAAATTTTACAATGCTATATAGTATTGGTGCTATAGGTTTTTGCCTTTATGGTACAACTTAAAATTGTACATTTACGTTATGGTACAACTTCAGATTGTACATATACTTTTTGTACAAATTCTTTTATGGTACAACTTGAACTTGTACCTTTATGTGATAATAATATAAATTCAAGTTGTAAAGTTGTACCATAACCATAAGGGGTAAATGACACATTTGGTCACTGAGATTATTAAATTGTGTCATGTTTAGTCACTAGAAAAAATTAATATCAATTTTGGTCACTCGAATTACCGAAACTGGTCAAATTTAGTCACTCTCCCGTCAGTTTCCGTCCAACTCCATTAATGTAGTTGGACGGAAACTTTTGGAAGAGTGACTAAATGTGACATGTTTTCAGTAATCCGAGTGACTAAATGTGACATTTTTCAATAATTCGAGTGACCAGAGTTGGACAGAGGCTACAGAAGAGTGACCAAATGTGACCTGTTTCAGTAATTCGAGTGACCAAAATTGATATTAAATTTTTCTAGTGACTAAATATGACACGATTTAGTAATCTCAGTGACCAAATGTGTCATTTACCCATAACATAAGAGTACAAATTGCTTTATGGTACAACCTAAACTTATACATTTAATGTTATAGTACAACTTTAAATTGTACATTAAAGCACCAATACTATATAGCATGGTAGAAGTGCTCTCGATATACATGGATCTAACGGTTTGTCAACTTGGATCTATGTATATATCGTGAATACTAGCTATCATTCGACTCGATCTTGTCATACTAGCATTCACCAAATCTAATAAAACTCGAATGTAAATAGATGTTTTGATTTAAAATTAGACCCTAATTCATTAGGAAAACAAAATTCTTATGGATCCCAATACTGAATAAGTAAATATAAGTGCATGCAAGTGGACTAAAGATTTCGTTTAGATCTTGGAAATCCTGTTAAAGAACAGAGGAAAACCCAATCACATGAATATAACAGCTCCCTGTACAAACAAAAATCCCAATAATATGTCAATCAATTCATATAATTATAATTCATTATAATTATATTATTCTATTCAAACGACAAGTGAATAAATAAAGAAGAAAAGGAGAAAAGAAAAAAAAACAAACGGAATAACACACGTGCTGCGTCCAGGAGGAACGGTATTGGCAACAGAAGTCACGGGTCCTGTGGCTCACTGAAGGTGATTCCAATACTCGATTCTTTCATCTTACTACTCTTCAGAGGCGTCGCTCGAATCGTATTTTGGTTCTCCGGGATGAGGCAGGCACTCCTTTCCATGACGAGGATTCCAAAGGTATGATTGCGGTTCATTATTTTGTCCATCAATTCACCTCTGAAGCTGTGCACGTTAACTCCTTTGTGGACCAGTTGGTGCTCCCGGTTATGGTGACCTCCCAAATGAATTCCTCACTCATCCGTTTGGTAACAAGGGATGAAGTGCGTGATGCTGCGTTCAGTATTGGACGTCTCCAAGCACCGGGTTCCGATGGTTTTACTGGTTTGTTCTTTCAATCTTATTGGAATTTGGTGGGTAATTTGGTTGAAGCAGCTGTTTTGGAATTCTTTAGCTCTTGCCATCTTCTCCATAATTTGAATCATACCTGGATTTCTTTGCTTCCTAAGGTCCCAAATGCGGATACCATGAGGCAAATGCGGCCGATTAGTTTGTGCCAAGTCCCATACAAAATTATTTCTAAGATTTTGACTGCTCGACTTGGGGATGTGTTACCCCATGTGATTGGCCCTTACCAAAATGGGTTTGTCAAAGGTCGACTCATCTCTGACAACATTCTGTTAGGTCAGGAGGTCATGCAATCTTTCAAAATAAAAGTTCAGGGACATGAGAAATGGATGGCACTTAAATTAGACATGGAAAAGGCATATGACATGGTGGAATGGGATTTTCTCTTTGCCATTATGCGGAAACTAGGTTTTGCAGAGAGGTGGTAACAATGGATTTGGGCTTGTGTTTCGACTGTCTCCTTTTCTGTTCTTCTCAACGGCTCGCCACATGGATACTTTCAGCCTCAGCGTGGCATCCGTCAGGGTGACCCGCTTTCCCCTTTACTCTTTGCCCTTTTTACTGAAGGATTATCTGCCTTAATTAATCAAGCTGTCGAGAGCAATTTTCTTCATGGTTTTAGGATTCATCGTCGCTGCCCAGTCTTGTCTCACCTCTTCTTTGCTGATGATGCTTACCTATTCCTTCGCGCTTCCCTTCCAGAATGTCATAATTTGTTATCATTGCTTGATTCTTATCAGCAGGTGAGTGGTCAAAAAGTTAATTTGCAGAAATCAACCATCTCGTTCAGTGCCAATGTCACCCAAGTCGAGGCTCAAGGCATTATATCTGCTTTGGGAGTATCTCCAAGTGGTGATAATGATCTCTATCTTGGCCTTCCCATCCGGATATCTCGTTCGAAACAGGATTCCTTCCGGTATATTGAAGACAACCTGCTTCATAAAATTCAACGATGGAAGTCTCAATCCATGTCTTTGGCTGCCAAGGAAGTGGTTCTCAAATCAGTTGGCTTTTCCTCTCCTAATTATGCTATGTCCAGTTTTCGTATCCCATCAACCTTTTGTCGCAGGCTAAATGGGCATTTGGCTCGATTCTGGTGGGCTTCTCAGGACAAGGAGAACGGGATGCGATGGGCTTACTGGCGTGAACTCTGTCGCCCAAAGGCTGAGGGAGGGCTAGGTTTCCGGGACCTTGATAGTCACAATATTGCTCTCCTAGCTAAGCAGGCTTGGCGGATAGTCCAAAATCCGGATGGTCTCTTAGCCATCAACTATAAAGGCAGGTATTTCCCTCACTCTTCCTTTCTTCTTGCTCCTCAGGGTTCTAGGCCTTCCTGGGCTTGGCAAGGTATCCTTGTGGGTCGCTCTCTTCTGCAATCCGGGCTTTGTTGGCGAATTGGTTCGGGTGCGGCGGTTCGGATATTGGAGGACTCATGGCTGCCAACGACTCCTCCTTCTCGGCCTGTTCTCCTGCCCAACGTTTCGTTACCTGGGCCCCACGTATCTTCTTTGATCGATCATGGCTCCGGTAGTTGGAAGGTACCTCTCATCACCTCTCTATTTGATGGGGAAACGGTCCAAATTATCAGATCTATTCCTCTTCCTATCTTTCCTGTGTCCGATCGTCTTGTGTGGCACTATGAGAAATCAGGTGAGTTCTCTGTTAAATCAGGATATAGAGTGGCCTCTGCTGATTATATTCATAACCCTTCCACTATTCCCCCGATCTTTGATTCTTCGGCTTGGAATTTGTTGTGGTCCTTGAATGTTCCTCCTAAATTACGTTTTTTTCTCTGGCGTGTTATTAAAGGATATCTTCCCTTGAGAGATATCCTTAGAGAGAAAGAACTAATTGATGATGAGGATTTGGAGGCGGTTAAGTGTCCCGTTTGTGACGAAGCCCCAGAGACCCTATTGCATTCTTTTATGCATTGTAGGGTGGCTGTCGACTTTTGGAACCTGGTTGGTCTTAATCACTTGCGCTTACAGGTTTTCAATATGCATATTTCCGTGGGTTGGCGGTGGCTCTTTTTTCATGCAGGTATTTCCAAGGATGTGCTCAGCCGGCTAGTCTTTGTGTACTGGCGCATTTGGAAGGCTCGATGTTCTACCACTTATGATCACGTTCAATTCCTTCCTTCCACCATGGTGCGACATTTCCAAACTCAAGTAGATGAATGGTCCTCTACTCAATCAGCCATGGCTTCATCCACGGATCGTCGTCCTCCTGTTCCTCCTGGGAGTCGCGGTCACACCCCACCTCTAATTTCGCCGGGGACTGTCCTCGTCCATTTTGATGGCGCCACAAAAACCAGTATTGGGGGAGGAGTTGGTTTCGTTGGGTTTTCAGGACCAACGGCTATTCTTTTTGCGTTTGGGAAATTTTACGACTATATGGATGACGCATTCATCATTGAGCTCTTGGCCCTCCGGGATGCCCTCCGGTGGTGTCTCTCTAATTCGGTCTCTAATGTCTCATTCTGTGGTGACGCGCAGGTGATTATTCAAATGATAAATCGTAAGGATTCAAGCCATGCTTTGGGTGGTAGCCTCCTCGCAGAGATCCAGGTTCTTCGTGTCTCCATGCAACGTGTATCGTTCCACTTCGCTCCGCGTAAGTACAATAGGGCTGCCCATATCGTGGCGAAAAAAGCCCTCTCTTCGTTGGATCGTCGGTTGGTCGACCAGCGACTCTTCCTTAATTCCTCTTTGTAATTGACCTGTAAAGGTCCTTTTATTATGTCGTATCTGCTGTATTCCCTTCCGGGATATCTTTGGCAAAAAAAAAAAAAAAACACACGTGCTGCGTCTCCGTGGACTCGACGCCGGCCGTCGACTTGTACGGGTCGGGTCACGGCGAAGGGGGAGAAAACGGAAACCGGGTAAGACAGACAGTCACCTAACCCGACAACGTAAGACCAATTACCGCGAGTATTTTTTTTTTCTTCCAAAAGATATCATATATTAATCGAGTCAAAGAAGATAGTTACATCCTGGAAACCAACCAGGCCCTGAAATCAAACAAACGATTCACATTCGAGTAAAAAAAAAAGACTTTTCTAGCTACCATGTGAGCTACCCGATTGTTCTCCGGAACTACCAAAATAAATATCTTGCAAGCGCTCTTTTCCTCTCTTTCTCTGGTCTCAGAAAGCCACAGAGACCACCACTTTCCACCTCTGCGTTTCTACAGCTTTCCTTCTTTCTCCATTCTTTGAACCAAGCCGAAGCACTTCTCGTATTCATTTTCTCCTTGTCGTTTGGTATCTGTCTCCATTGTTGGGTTCCCTTTGAAGAGGGTTAGCTAAGGAATAATCAGAGTGAACAAAACACTACCCGCCACTTCGCCGAATCTCTTTTGACTTCCTTCCAAGCTGCAGCCACCAGGTTCGTGTTAAAAGAGAGGATAAGCTCTCCTGGATTATCTCTCGCCCGCCCTTGTCCTTTCTTTTCACATTTTTTGGGGAAAATTGCAGAGGAAAAAAACGAGTTCAGTTCTCTTGGGGGTCTTTGATTCCCTGCCATGGATAAATGGCATCCTTCAATTTCCCTCCTTTTAGGTTCTCCCCATAAAACTGCACGGATTTCCTGGGGTAGGAATTCGAGCTGTTGAACGGAGGTTTAGAGTCCAGTGCGAGAAAGAACAAGTATGGCGACTTGATGAAAAAGCTCCCTTCTTTCTCCCTTTCATGTGCCATTTTTGTTTGTGGAAATGGAAGGGCAGCTCCATTTGAATCCCCTGATTTGAATTTCTTTGTTTCTTGTGTGTGTGATTGGTTTCTTAATTTGGGTTTGAATCATGTTATGATGGTGTTGGGAAGCTTCTGCTACTAGAAGCACATGGAAATTGTAGCCATGAGTCTTGCAGCTGTTGTTCTGTGTCTTAGTTTATAATATTTTCCCCAGCAAGAATAGTCAATTCTTGTCTGCTGGAGGGCATCTGACCAGGAATAGGATTTGCTTTGCTTTCATTTGATTTGATTTGGATTCTATTGATTGCACCTGGTCCATGTCTCTTCTAGAAGACAGTTGACAATTTTGGTTTCCTGTTAGGTCATTCATTAGCTCATAGGCTTTCCCTTATGCTTATACCTACCTGGTCCTTTTCTCTCTAATGTCAAAAACAGGTTGAAACTTGATACACTAGGTCTTGAGAAAGATTCAAGAGTTTCTCAGTCATTACACAATGTTCCGTCGGAAGGCTATTATTACTCACCAGGAACCTGAGAATGATTCTCAGCAACAAGAGGCCAAGGTAAATGAGAAGAAGTTAAATTCGATAGAGACTGCATTTTGTTTTTGTTCCTGTTGTTGTAGGGTTTCAATATTGTTTATGCATGTTTTTGGATGCAGATTAACGAACTCAAGGCTGCCATAGGTCCTTTATGTGGCCAGAGCTTGAAGTATTGCAGCGACGCGTGCCTCAGAAGGTACCTGGTAGCACGAAATTGGAATGTGGAGAAAGCCAAGAAGATGCTGCAAGAAACCCTCGAGTGGAGGTCGAGCTATAACCCCGAAGAAATCCGTTGGGTAATCCCCAGATGTGCCATGCCATTCGCTCTTAATGTTCATCGATCTTGTGTGATTGGAAGACTGAGCCCTGTGTTTTGCTTTTTGACAGCCTGAGGTTGCACATGAAGGCGAGACTGGGAAAATATACAGAGCCAGTTTCTGTGACAGACAAGGAAGGCCTGTTCTTATTCTCAGGCCTGGAATGCAGGTTAGTGGTTAATTTGTCGAACTGGAAATCGATCTGAGAACTGAGAGTTTGAACATGTGCTTTTCATCATCTCGATGGGAAACTGAAAGTGAAGGTCCAATCTAAAACTGTTGCTTGCAGAACACGAAATCATTCGACAACCAAATCCGCCATCTGGTGTACATGCTCGAGAATGCTGTGATCAACCTACCAGAGGGTCAAGAACAGATGACTATCCTCATCGATTTCACAGGTTGGTCGATCACCAACAATGTGCCCATCAAGACAGCACATGAGACCGCCTCGATTCTGCAGAACCACTACCCGGAGAGGCTAGCTGTCGCGCTTCTCTACAACCCTCCTAGGATCTTTGAAGCGTTCTGGAAGGTCGTGAAGTACTTTTTGGATCCCATGACGTCTCAGAAGGTGAAGTTTGTGTACCCGAAGCGGAACAAAGAGAGCGTCGAGGTAATGAGGTTGCACTTTGATGATCAGAACTTGCCCGCTGTCTTCGGAGGGCAAGGTGACCTGCAGTATGACCATGCCGAGTTTTCGAAGATGATGATTCTGGATGATGTGAAGACTGCTTCTTTCTGGGGGCTTGATGCTGCCAAGTTGAATGTTATTGAATTAGGTCCTACTTAGTCTTGTGTGTGAGATTTATGGGGGAAATTGCATGCTAGCTATTAGCTAAGCTAAGCAGCTCTTCTCTGTATGAGTTTATAGGGGAAATTGCATGCTAGCTATTAGCTAAGCTAAGCTAAGCTAAGCTAAGCAGCTCATCTCTGTATGAGTTTATATATTTTGTGGTTGTTATCTCACCACTGGAAAGACTGATTTCAAATCAGCTTAATTTCTTGCTAGTTTAGAAGAGAAGAAGGGTGTCCCCTCTCTTTGAGCTATTAAATTTATCTTTTCTCACTTGCTGTTTGTGTGATCTAATTATAAAGTAACGATTTAATCGGCTAAATTCGACTCAAACCGATCTACTGTAAGGTGATGTATTACCTTATAACTCGATTAAGATTGAGTAATAATAAGTGTTTGAGAATATGTACTATCAATGGACGACGAAAAACAAAACCTCCTACTCTAAATTGTTAAGAAACTGTGAATCACAAATAAATCATAATTCCAATGTTGTCAGAACCGAACCGGAGCATGACCAGATAATGCGAACGGCTTGCATTTTAGTGGTCCAACCGGCATTAGACTGTTTAAAAACCGTTAGAGAACCGGTACCTAATAAACGTTATCAGTATAAATAGTGGACATTTCTTAATTAGAGCTCGTCTCTTTCCTTCGAAATTGTGAAATGTAAATAAAGATTCAGTTTGAGAGCCCGACGTTTTTGGTTTATTTCAATTTTCAATTTTCTACAATTTTTTAATTAAATTTAACGGCTTAATGACAAAAACCGGACGAGCGGCTCGAGCGGTTAACCGCCTCGGCCGCTCGTCAACCGTTACATAAAACCGGAGCGACTTTTAGACCGTTCCGAGCCGATTTTGTGACCGGGTGGCGGTTTTACCGCTTGGGCCGAGCGGCTCGACTCGGCTTTAATAACACTGCATAATTCCATCACAAAATATCATACTACTAAATTTTCCGGTATAACTTTCATTATTTGAATTCGGAAATTCAACAAGATCTGAAATTTGGATACCAGGTTTATTTTTTGGGCTATAGGTCGGCCTATCTTGCTTGCATTGGGCCAGAAAGCCCAACATGATTTTCAACCTCTATCAATGTTTGGCTGTTTGCCGTCAGAAGTCAGAACTCCGAGAGTTCCCCAGCTCTCCGAAGAAGTGAAGCCAGAACATCATTCTGACTTCTGAGTTCTGACTGAAACTTTGGCTTCGCCGGCAAGATACTATTTTGGCTGTTCTTCTTCTTAGCTCTATTTTCTCTTCACTTCATGCTTCTTCCATGCGTCATGTCTCTGCTTCTCAATATCTCATTCATCAGTATGCTCTCAAACCCAGCCGCCTCGCAATCTCTTCCGTCCATCGCTATTTCGGCACCCGCCGTAGTGGGTCACTTGATTCCTTGGACAGCCTTCTTCAAGGCTGCGCCAGGGTTCAGCAATGCGAGCAAGTTCACGCAAAGTTCATCGTTTCTGGGAGCAACAGCTCCGCTTTCCTGGCTTCCCGATTGGTATCTACCTACGCTCGTTTTGGCCGCCTCTCGGATGCCCAGATGGCGTTTGATTCTCAGAGCCAATTGGATTGCTTCTCGAACCAAATTCTGTGGAATTCGATTCTCAGAGCTAGTGTTTCCGGCGAACGGTATGAAAACGCACTGAATTTGTATGCTAGAATGCGCAAGTTTGGAAATTTAGGCGATGGTTACACTTTCCCATTGGTGATTCGGGCGTGTAGACAGTTGGGTGGTAATGGCAGGAAGAGTTCTAGGTTGAGTCAGGTTGTTCATTGCCATGCTATAGAGGCTGGTTTCCATAGCCATCTCCAAGTCTCGAACGAGTTGATCGCAATGTATGCGAAACTGGGACGGATGGTGGATGCACGTAAAGTGTTCGAGGGAATGGGTGTGAGAACCACTTTGTCATGGAACATGATGGTTTCCGGGTATTCCTTCAATTGTGATTGTGTTGCTGCTCTTGATATCTTTCGAAGAATGGAATCCGAGGGCTTGGAGCCTAATCTGGTGACATGGACTTCTCTCCTATCAAGCCATGCTCGTTCGGGGCTAAGTTTAGAAACCTTGAAGCTGTTCACTTTGATGCGGAAGAAGGGAATTGGGGTGAATGCCGAAGCACTTGCGGTCATCTTGTCAGTCTGTCCTGATCTCGGTGCATTTCATACAGGAAAGGCAATTCATTGTCATGTTATCAAGGATGGTTTCGAAGATTACTCGTTCGTGAAACACTCACTGATTAGCTTGTACGGCAAGAGTGGCAATGTAATTGAAGCGCAGATCTTGTTCGAGAAGATTGAAAACAAGAACACAGTAAGCTGGAACGCTTTGATAACATCATATGCTGATGCCGGTTTATGTGATGAAGCTTTCGAGGTTTTCTCGCAGATGGAGAGACCTGATATAGTTAGCTGGACTGCTGTAATAAGTGGCTTCGCCGCAAATGAGAGAGGAGAAGATGGGTTGAATCTCTTCCGCCGAATGCAGAGTGCTGCCAACGTGACAGCAAACGCTGTCACAATTTGCAGCGTCTTGTCAGCATGTGCAGAGTTATCAGCACTGAATCTAGGGAAGGAAATTCATGGATACACAACAAGAACATTCCTCTGCAACGAGCTTCTGGTTTCGAACAGCCTGGTCGATATGTATGCGAAATGTGGGAATTTGAAGGAAGGCCGTAGAGTCTTTGAGAGAATTGAGGGTAAAGATATGATTTCATGGAACTCCATCATCAAAGGACACGGGATGCATGGACTTGGCGTCGAAGCTCTACAGATGTTTGATCGTATGATCACTTCTGGCCATCGGCCGGATGGGATAACCTTTATTGCGATTCTCTCAGCTTGTAGTCATGCTGGACTTGTCAGCCAGGGTCGTTTGCTTTTTGATAAAATGGTTTCAAAGTATCGAATTGAACCCAGGATGGAGCACTATGCTTGCACGGTGGATCTGTTGGGCCGGTCGGGTTTATTGGAAGAGGCTAGTGAAGTTGTGAAGAACATGCCAATGGAGCCTAATAGTTGTGTGTTGGGTGCTCTGTTGAACTCTTGTAGAATGCACAAGAACACGGCTTTTGCAGAGAATGTAGCGTCTCGAATGTTTGGTCTCGTATCTGAGAGTTCTTGGAGCTATACATTGATGTCGAATATATACGCCGGTAGTGGTAAGTGGGAGGATTCTGCCAGGGAGAGAGTCTCAGCGAGGAGTAAAGGGTTGAAGAAGGCTGTTGGGCAGAGTTGGATTGAGGTGAAGAAGAAGGTCTGCAAGTTCGTGGCAGGGGATTGCTTGGAGGAGAAGGATTCGGACGAGATCTTTCAGGTGCTCAAGGGACTGACGATTCAGATGGAGGATATCAGTGACGATGATGATATCATGTTTGGCAAATCGATGAAGCTGAAATATTGAGATGCTAGAGCCTCAGATTTCGGGTGATTGCTGTAACTGTGTTTGGTCCAGTGTATAGCAGTATTAGTACGCAAATATTATTTGTCTCAATTGCATATTCTGCACGTTGTAGTGTGATGTAAGATGAAGCTCATGATCTTTGCTAAGTACTCTGATACATTGCTGGAATGACAACACAACATAATTTAATTTACAGGGTTCTTAACAGTGTATAAAATTAGAATTACTGGGATTCCAAGGGTTTACATACACTAGTTACTACCATAACCCTTTTTCCTACCTTACACAAGGGTGTTTTATATTACAAGCCTTATGAGAAGAAGAAAAAAGAAAGACACATACAGAGTGACTGTCATCATGTCTATTTCTCTGTCAGCTGCTAAATAAACAGTGTCCTACTAACTCTCTCTTAGTCAAAATCTTGCAGTCAGAAGAAAACTCAAACCATATTTGCAAATCATTGGAAACATTTAGCTAGCTAACAATTTGGGATAACAGTTCAATCACAGGAGTCGCCTTTTGAAGTTTCGGGTAGTTGTTTGGTAGGTTCGTACCATCAGACCGACCCCAATGCCAACCCCAACACAGATGCCTAGCCCGATACCAACACCAACCCTAACGCCTGCATTGAACCAGGAGAGCTCACCGTCTTCACCATCCACGAACTCTGTTCTTCTCCAGTACATGTTGCTGTAATCTTCTTCGCCGTTCTCCAGCTTGTAGCTTCTGTACTCTGCCAACTGCAGATCAATCAATCAGAGAGATAGAGCTCAATGAGTTAGGTCCAGTGTGTATATTTGGCCAAGTATGTGGAATGCATAGCTGAAGTGCAATACATCATCTCTTAAGCAGAGGATGTGAAAACAAAGAACAGAAATAGCTGAACATAACCACAACTGAGGGAATCCAAGTAACCAACTAAATCAGAGAGACAACAATTTCAACCAGGCTGAATGGACTTTATTTATCCCAGCCCCACCCAAATGGTTATAACCCAACTGGCGATAATGCGAGGAAAAATGCAAGCTGGCATCTCTCATATAACTCGGGTACATTGATCACAATATTCTCTCATTTTCATGTCCTAGACAAATTAGATATAGATATTGAAATACCCATGTCACCTGCTCATATTCATTTCTAGGCTATACTAAGAAAACCAACCATCAGGCAATTGACATAAATGCATGGACCTGGTCATGGATTCCCTCTGCTAATGCTGATCAATGACAGATGCAAGCCAAGCCAAGCCAAGCCAATGGAGAAATGAAAAAGGAACAGACACATGTCAGAAGAAGGTAGGTGAGGCCACGTGGAAAGCATCCTCCCACGTGGAAGAGGCATGAATCCCACGAGCGTCAGGATTGCCAGAAGGAAGAAGATATTAAAAATATCAGACACAAAACAAGACAGGAATGGGACGAAAGGAAGGAAAATAAAGAACGCAAGCACTCGATTACACTATCAAGTCACTAGAAAAGTGTGCCTCAGCCCATACCCGATGTCACCATCTACTAAAGATAAGATTCCATAACCTGCAGAGACTCCATGGCAATCGATCCCACAACAAGCATGGCACTTTTTTTCTGTCTAAATCAAACATGCCCCGACGCAGGAAGCAACAATTAGCAAAAGGTCAAGAAGTAATCTTTTTTACCTGTAATTCATCATCGTGAGCCGACTTAACTTTCTGCGGATCGGTGGCTTCATCCTCGGGAATCGAATCCAATTTCCCCTTCCTGTTATGCTTCTTCCTGAAACTAAGCTGCAGAGTCTTGGTCAAGATGATCGGCGTCCCAGAGAAGCATCCGGTCACATAGACTTCAATGGCTGGTAGTGATGTATCAGAAGAACCATTAACATGTTTCCCTCTCAAGAAGCTAGTAATACCCTCTGATTCACACTTCATGCTCCAACGTTTCACACTGCCTTTACATTCTCCGGTGAAGCCATTGCTGCTGGACATCTCCATAGTACCGGAAAGGACGAGATCATCCTTATCAAACACGTGGAATTTCACACTCCCTGTAGTTCTAATGCTATCCGTGCTAACAAACGTCACTTCCTCGGATTTCTTGTCGACTCGATCCCTTCGAAGCAGCAATGGGGAACCATCGGAGTAGATACTGCTTCTAACGCCATTAACTTCAAGGAGGGTATCTGGGCTTAGGGGGATGTGGTTGATTGTGAGGAACTCTGGGGTGGTGTCGTCGACATGGAAGTTGCTGATTCTGACGTAGAAGACTCTGAGTTCCAGCCATGGTGATGAATATCTGGAGGGCTGGAATGGTGAGTACTTGATTATCTGGAGACTGGAGTTAGCTCGTCTTTCATCGAGATCAGATGTATCGTAAGGACCATCCATTGTTTGATTCTTTAAGCCTGAAGTTCAGTGAGACACTCCCAAGTTTGATGGGACTTGTTTCATCTGGGAACCATAAGAAAAGAAGCTGGAGAATTAGAAACATTAACAGGAAATTAAGCCTTAAACCCATGCAGTATTGAAGCCAGAAAACAAAGTTCGAAAGAAGGAAGTAAATAGAAAAGGAAGATCAGAGAAGATAAAGGGCAAAACATAATAGTCAACCCAGTTGCCCAAAATTCAGGAAACTGCTTATAAAAAAATTTCTAGAAACTGAGATAAGGTTAAAAAATTCATCATCCAGCCCTAGAAGCGATCCAAGTGTCTCCTGACCTCTGACTCAAGACAACAGTATCTTGATATATTCTCCACTATAAACTTTCTATGACAAAACTGATAAGTAAAATCAAAGATGCAAAAATCAAGCAATCCACCCACCACAACAACAAAGGAGATGAGAGATTTCTGTCTAAGAACAGCAAGAAGAAACAGAAAGGGAACGAAAGCACAAAACTTACAGAGATGCGGATCAGGCGATCACGTTGATTGTATCGAACCCTTATCCAATCGATGGAAACGGGGCTTTCCCAGCCAAACACCCAATTCACTTCTCTTCCGCGTCTTCACTTTTCCACTTCCAATGAACGAAGCTATTCATTGAGGAATTTGTTCAAGCAGATGGTGGGCAGAAGGCAAGAAAAGGGAAAAAACAACAAAAAGGAAACAGAAAGAAGAAAGGAAAAGTATATAGAGGGGAAAGAAAACAAAAGGAGCGTTTCAGTAAGCAGAGAAGAAAAGGGAGAAAAAACTGCCGGCTAAATCTCACAGCAAATGGAAACCACGTCACACAAACCGCCAAATAGACCCTCCCCTCCTCTCCCTCCCTTCCCCCCTCTTCCTCCGTCCCTGTCTCTCTGCAATTCTAGAATGATACCAGAGCCACGAAAAAGAAAAGAAAAGAAAAAAAAATTCACCAACAGAAAAATCTTTTCCCCGGTTGAGGCATATCCTCAAACAGATGGTGTGCGATTAATGATTTGACTTGGATCCTCCCCCAAGATTAGAGCTTTTGATTACCATGCGCCAAATTGGTGGCCGAGGATCAACGATTCCAGCTGAACGCGACCTGGGTTGTCGGGGGAAAAGCGGGAAAATCTCCTCCACCAACAAAGCAAACAACAACAACAAACAAGCCCTCCACCTCCAGTTTCTTCTATGGCTGTCCCTTTCCGGCGGACTAGAAAGAAACCGGTACACTCGATTCCTCGGCGGAAATGAGCAAATGGGTTCTCTCTCCCTCTCTAGTGTTGATGTTTCCCGAGTGCTATATTTTAAGCGTTTTTTTGGCGCTTTACTTGGCAGAAAGAAGGAAGGGAACTGAATTCAATGGTACGATATAAGTCGATCGATCTTATCGGATTGGTAGGGAGACAAGTAGCCATGAGACCTGTGAGAGATGGGACTTGTCTATTTTAATCCCTTTTCTTCTCCTTGAATTCTTTGCAGCTTGCGAGGACAAATGCTGTCTCTTCTCTCACGTTCATGTTCCTCCCTTCTGCCTACTCTGCTCCATCGCCTCCTCCCCATGTGTGTTGTAAAATTTTGGAATGCTTAGCTATTTGCCTCTTAGCTATTGTCCGCATCGTCATCATAAATCCAAAAGTTTTCAAAACTAAAAACATTCATCATCAAATCCAACAAATAGACAAGCCCTTAATGAAGATTTAGGAGACGGTAGCATATTTAGTAGTACAATCATAGTTTGATGGCTAGCATATCAATTGGATAATGTTGTTAGAATAATTTTAATAAAACTTTTACATTCAGTCCATAACATATTAAATATAATAAGTAGTGCACCTAACAAATCGGATGATATACAATTGAGTAGGCTTAATTGCAAGTTTGGTCACTCGAATTGCTATAAAATTTCACGTTTGCCACTCAAATTAATTTATTCCATTTATAGTCACTCGAATTAGTTGAACAGTTCAAGTTCGGTCACTCTCCGTTAACCTCCGTTAACTTTGACTGACGTGGAGGTCAACTCTGACAGTTGACCGTTAAATGTGTGACGTGGCAAATAAAAAATAATTAAAAAATAAAAAAAAAATTTAGAAAGTACACGTCATTATCACAAAAAAAAAATATAATTGTAATAAATGGAAAAAAAATTATCACAAAAAGAATTTATCAAAAAGAAATTACACTCATCGGCGGAGGAGAGGGGTCAGGGTTGCCGGCGCCGGTTGCTTCGAATCGGAGACAGCCTTTTCTATCATCATCATCGTCATCACCTTCTTCTTCTCTTCCCCACCGCGAATTTCTTCCACTCATCTTACCAATAAAAAATTTCTTCCACTCTGCCAGCTGTTCCAGTGTGTTAGTCTTTCACCTTTTGCTTATAACCTTTAGTGCCTTCTCTCAGGGCCTTGGCAACCCAAAATGGAGTCTTTTTGATTCCTTCTCTATTGATATCCTCTCCCAGACCGTGTAAAAGGACTTTGACAGCATCCTCAATGGCCAAAGCCGTAAGCGTAAGGTACATGGACGGCCTCGAGCCCGCCCTTCATTATCTGAGGAAAAATTAAACAGGCTCCATTCAATTTCGGTCGAATCCCACAATATAACACTATATCCCGCTTCCTCTAATTGGAAATCACAAAAATAAGAACAGAACAATAAACCACGGAAATGAAACAGGTTATAGCTAGCCTCCCGACTAACCTTGAGCACGAATTCCATAGCGTCGGAGATAAACCCGAACCAACCGCCGCTCTTCTGAACGGCAGCAGCATCAGTCGAGCTGGAAGCAGCGCCGGCGTCAACTGCCACCGCGGCGTCGGCAAGCGTGTACAGAACGCTCTCGGCTCTGGTGAGAATTGAGCTGAAATCAACATGAGAAAGAGGGAGATGAACCGGAGGGATGTCGTGCAGGCTCATCTTTACTGTTGTGGAGATGAATCGACGGCTGGGAAGCGAGTGGAGGAGTCCATGGTGGCGAGAGCGGGCGGGAAGTGGCGTTCCGAGGAAAGTCGGAGACGAAATTAGGGTCTTCGCCATGGAATTGGAGATTGCTGAAACTTCTTCTGGTGGAGCTTCACGTACGCATGAGGGAGGGAGTTGGAAGGAAGTGGTGGAGATAGGAGAAAAGGTTGGGCAAGTGGAGAATGCCAAAGAGTCTGAACCAGAACAGGTTATCCTGAACTTTCTTTCTATTTTCTCTCAATCTCTTTATTTTTGTTTTTTTACATTTTTTACAATTATATTTTTTTTTTGTGATAATGACGTGTACTTTCTAAAAAAATATTTTTTATTTTTTAATTATTTTTTATTTGCCACGTCACACATTTAACGGTCAACTGTCAGAGTTGACCGCCACGTCAGTCAAAGTTAACGGAGGTTAACGGAGAGTGACCGAACTTGAACTGTTCAACTAATTCGAGTGACTATAAATGGAATAAATTAATTTGAGTGGCAAACGTGAAATTTTATAGCAATTCGAGTGACCAAACTTGCAATTAAGCCCAATTGAGTAGGTAGTAGGTTAACTACATTGTGCTGGATGTACACACTATTTCTAAATATACGTATGGAACCAATTTGATTGTTTCTACGTGGTGGTAAGTGGTAAGATTATTTTCATTCTACATTTTCACATCCTCGAAAAGTATTTACCCGGTTTAGTCAATAATCAATTTACTTGATCTTCATTTTCATCTTGCAAGCAAATGAGGTTAATCAATTTTGAAAATATATGGATAAATACTTTTAGAAAATCCGAACTATAAAAAAATGCAACTTGTGTTCCGACCTATTCAATATGTCATTTATATAAAAAACTATTATTTTGTTAGTGTTGACCGACGTTGACCGTTAGAATTTAACAGAAAGTGTAACTAACGTTGATGTAGCATATGACATGGAATTTAAAATTAAGTTTTTATCAAACAAATAAAAAAAATAAAAAATAAAAAAAAAACGTAAACAAAAAAAAACTCTGAAGTCGTAACCCACCACTCTCATCTCTCTCCACCTCTTATTATCCCCTATCGCTGCAGGAGGCGCGAGAGGAGGTGGGAGGAAGGAAGAGGAAGCAGTGGTGGTGGATTTGGGGAAAGTAGGAGGTGGCCGGATTTGGAGTGAAGAAAGATGGGAAAGATGAAAATTTTCGAAGAGAGGAATTATTTTGGGTCGATCGGGTCAATTGGAGATGAAGAGAAAGAATTGGGTCATGGATTGGGCTGAGTTGGTTTTAATGATGTGGCGAGTGTTAATGACGTGGTGGGTCGGATTTTATTTTTGTTGGGGCTGATTAGGAGATTTTGTTTGCCACGTCAAGACTTAACGGACTTCATTAACGGATTTGAACGGAGACTAACGGAGAGTGACCAAACGTGGATTGTTAAACTAATTTTAGTGACCATTATTAAAATTAGGGTTAATAGCATTTTCTGCCCCTGTACTATTGCGATGTAACAAACGTGCCCTTGTACTATTTTTTTGCACAAAACCGCCCTTCTACTATTACATCGTAACGGTCCTGCCCTTCCGTTGGAATTTATGTTTACTCGCCGTTAAAGAGGGATGGAAATTACCCAACTACCCCCAATCCCCATCGATTCCCAGAGGGTTCTTCCCAACTACCCCCAGTCCCCATTCCTCAAAGAAATACCTCTCTCGTCGACGAGAGAGACTGCCGACGACCCGACCCTCGAGCCGCGACCCTCCGAGTCTTCCGACGACGGCGAGCGAACCGGCGAACCCTCTAGTCTTCCGACGACGGCGAGCGAACCCTCGAGCAAGCCTTCTCCTTCCTTCTGTCGGAACAGAAGCAAGCCCTCCTGGACAGCCATCTCCCTCCGCTTGAGCAGAGACCGAGTCAGCTAGACAATCTTTTCCGTGGACAGCCTTCTCGTTCCAATCCAAATATCACTTTTGAGCCGTCTCCCTCCGCTGGACAGCCTTCTCGTTCCAATCGCTGCTCATTTTATCTGTCATCGACTCTATCACCAAGCAATAGTCCAACAATCCAAGAGGTACATCTTCGAACCCTAAGAATACATGATAGGGTCTGATTGAATTGAATCTATTGACTCGATGAAGTAGAACAGCAGCAGCAGACATGATAGGGTCTGATTGAATTGAATCTAGGGTCTGATTCTCGCCCTCTAATTTTTTGTAACTCTTTCGAACCCTAAGAGTACATGATAGGGTCTGATTGAATTGAATCTATGGACTCGATGAAGTAGAACAGCAGCAGCAGACTTGAATCAATGGACTCTTTCGAACCATAGTAGCACTGCAGAATGAAGTAGAACAATAACTGCAGAATGTTGTCTTTTTGTAATGGCTTGGGTTGATTTCAATTGCCACCAGACTTGGTATGGTGATACTTTGTTTAGGTGAATTCAATTGCCGCCTAATTGATTGAATTGTAGGTCATGTCATCTTCTCAACAATCATCATTTGGTAGCACTGGAATCGACAATGCAGATGTGTCTTGCTGGTGTGGAGTGAGAGCTATCAGGTTGCATTTATGGACTAAAACGAATCCGGGGAGAAGGTTTTACCGTTGTAGGAAGAGTTTGGAAGAAGGAGGCTGTAAGTTTTTCAGGTTTCAAGACCCTGAATTGAACATTCCACATTACAAAGGACTGATTGTTTCTCTTCGAGAAAGAGTGAAAGAAGTTGAAGCTGAAAGAGACATTCTACGTACAAGAAGCAAAATCTTAGCGGAAGAACACACTGAGATTATGCGGCAAATAAATGGCGTGACCTCAGTGAAGAAGCTGCATATGTTGTATATTGTGATTGTTAGTTTGTTGGTTTTAATTTGCTTGTTATTCATTGTAGTCATAGTTAGTGGCTGATGTAGAATGGATGTAGATGCATTTTCCTATCTTTGTAATCACTTTCTGTGTAATGGATATTAAGGGGTTCCTTGTTATGTTAATGCATCTTTGTCTCTTAATGACCTACTTCTTAGTCAATAATTGTGTCACAGAGTACAAAAAAATCCAGTAAACAACAAGTTGTGAAAAATGCTTATGAAACAAACATAATCCATCCATAATATTGTCATATGGAGTGCAAAATCTAGGTTCATGTCTGCTGTCTTCACTACTCATAATACCAAAATAGGCAGTTTAAAGTTCATGTTTGCTGCCTGCACTACACATAATACCAAAATATAGGTTCAAGATGCACTACTAACTATTGAGTATTGACTAATACATCAAGTATTAAATCTAACGAAAAGTAGTCGTGCTCTACTTGGTGGTAAGTGGTAAGATTATTTTCATTCTACATTTTCACATCCTCGAAAAGTATTTACCCGGTTTAGTCAATAATCAATTTACTTTATCTTCATTTTCATCTTGCAAGCAAATGAGGTTAATCAATTTTGAAAATATAAGGATAAATACTTTTAGAAAATTCGAACTATAAAAAAATGCAACTTGTGTTCCGACCTATTCAATATGTCATTTATGTCATAAACTATTATTTTTTTAGTGTTGACCGACGTTGACCGTTAGAATTTAACAGAAAGTCTAACTAACGTTGATGTAGCATATGACTTGAAATTTAAAATTCAGTTATTATCAAACAAATAAATAAAAAATGTAAATAAAAAAATTGTGAAGTCGTAACCCACCACTCTCATCTCTCTCCACCTCTTATTATCCCCTATCGCTGCAGGAGGCGCGAGAGAAGGTGGGAGGAAGGAAGAGGAAGCAGTGGTGCTGGATTTAGGGAAAGCAGGAGGTGGTCGGATTGACGGTTGAGCAGGTGGTGGCCGGATTTGGAGTGAAGAAAGATGGGAAAGATGAAAATTTTCGAAGAGAGGAATAAGGTTCGGGTCAATTGGAGATGAAGAGAAAGAATTGGGTCATGGGTTGGGTTGGTTTTAATGATGTGGCGAGTTTTAATGATGTGGTGGGTCGGATTTTATTTTTGTTGGGGCTGATTAGGAGATTATGTTTGCCAAGTCAAGACTTAACGGACTCCATTAACGGATTTGAACGGAGACTAACGGAGAGTGGCCAAACGTGGATTGTTAAATTAATTTTAGTGACCATTATTAAAATTAAATCATTTTAATAACCAAACATAAACATTTTAGTAATCTCAGTAACCAACCTTGTGATTTACTTGTAAGATATCTTTCATTATTTAACTGCTACAATATCAAACCATTATACATCCTTGCCATTTATTTCTTGATTTTTGTTGTCACGCCAAAAAAACAAAACACAAATTGAAAAGTGAACATAAAGTTGTAGTTGATCATCTACTGAAACCTGAGCTTAGATGCCTAGAAAACTTTGACGATGGGCTCTACAAATTTAATGACTTCCATGGGGAACCGGATGGGCTCTAACAATGTGGGCCTTCAGTCTATTATTTCAGAACTGGGCTCTTGTCTGCACAGGGCTAATGGACCGATCGATCCTTCTTTGGTAGCAAACATTCCAGGTTACACTTTCCTTCATTCGTTATATGTTTCTTGATAACTCACTCGTAATAAGTTTCGTTTTAAGTTGTTTGGTTGGAATTTGGAATCAGGATCAATTTGATATGTGTACGGTGAAATCACACCCACTTATATTATAGTTAATCGGTGGTGAATCGGATGGTAAGATATGTTGGTTGAAATGGTGTGTTTATTATTCAAATTTGTATTGCTTAATTTTTGGAAAATCGTTTTGATCATTATGGTTGAATTCTATACTCAATTTTTTAAATATAACTTGGACATGCATATGATAACTTTTGATTTTCATAATACATATCATCCACATTACAATTTCTGTATTTTTTTTTCAAATCAAAATTTTGTCTAGTGGTACAACCATTGGTCTTCAACGTAGAGTTCTCGGGTTCGAATTTATTAATTATCACCTAAGAATAAAAATAAACCTATATCACACTTCTAAAAAAATATGTTTGATTTCATTTTAATTAAAATACTATGTATTTCATACCTCGTATAATTTTTTGAAATCAAATATCATAATTATTGTAAATCAAAATAATATACACTAATCCATAAAATAAAATAATATACACTAACATTACACGAATTCTTATCTATCACTAAAATACACCAAATCTATTACCAAAAAAAAAACACCAAATCTCGAAATTCAGAGGTCATTTTTTATCCCAAAATAATTGAAATAGATTTAAAAAGAATTTGAAAATCTTTACGCCAAATCGATTCGTCCAGGCCAATTTAATCTAATTGTTTCAAAAAACAAATTGAATCAAATTCATCTCAAACCACCCCTCAAATGTATTATATGCAAAAAGCCTTTTTTTTTTCCCCTTTCTTTTACGTCTTCTCCAGTCAAACGAACTCACAAGACTCGTACGTACTAGGGATGGCAACAAAACCCGAACCCACAGGTACCCACCCGACCCAACCCGGTCAACGCGGGTAAAATCCGTGTTGACGGGTTTTGGGCCGGGTTTGGGTTTAAACCCGTTCACTATTCATCGGGTTGGGTTGGGTTTGGGTTTAGGTAAACCCGACCCACGGGTACCCGCCCACACCCATATAATTAATTTTCTCGGCATATTTAAAATTCTAAACAACTAATCTTATTTATGTTTGTGGAGACATGTCTAATTTTTTCTTTCTAGTTATGTAGTATGAAGTTGATGTTATCGAGTGGATAGTGAAAAACTTAATTGAAAGGAAGAAACTTTCAATTAACCATGTTATTTACGGATAATTTGTGATTTGCTTCAATTTTTTTGAGTTTTCTAGATTGGTGTTGAACAATTTGTATAGTTAATTTGTGATTTGCTTGAATTTTCTAGAGTGGTTTTTATATATGGATAATTTGTATTGGGAAATTGATATTTGACTTTAATTTTAATAGGAATTTGTTATTGTGAATTTTTTAGGACAAAAACCCGTGGGTACCCATGAACCCGCGGATACCCAGCGGGTTGGGTTGGGTTTGAGTTTTTCAAACCCAGTGGGTTTTACCCCGGGTTTTTTTCACGGATAAACCCATGGGTTTGGGTTTGGGTTTGGCAAAACCCGACCCAACCCGACCCATTGCCATCCCTAGTACGTACCTATAAACTTCATCAAGTTGCCCTGGAAAAAAATCCTATATAAACAAGGGAGTGGGGCACGAGGGACGAATAGGAATATAAATTGGGCAGGAAAAAAGCAAAGCAAAGAAGAAAAAAAAGGTGGTCAGCGTTCTTCGTTTTGCCAAGAGCCCCAGCCACTTCTTAGCGCCTTTGTCCACTCACACTCTCTGTTTCTTCGCCTTTTAACCATGGTTTAGCCCTATCCACTACTAGCTCTCCTCCCTCTTTTCATTATCTCGTCCTTTTCCTCCTCCCTCGCTGCTGCCGTCTTCTTGCTCTCCCACTTCATCCTTCTTCTGTCAGTCCAAAGTTTATGCAAAGTTTGAGAATTTATTTACACAAGTTGGCTTTCCTGTAGTGGATTGATTCTGTTTCATTTTCCTCTGTTTCCTCTTCTTCTTGTGAAAGGAGAAGTGGGGGGAAAAGGGATTTTCAGGATTCGTGTGTATTACCCGTATATGTGTGGATAGAGGGTAGAGGAGAAAAGATAAGAAAGATGGGGAAGAAGAAGGCGCAGAAGACGAAGGAATTATCGGTAGCCATAGCAGAAGATGCAGAGCATCATCCTCAGCCGCAAGAAGCAATAGAAGGAGCTGCTGTTTCTTCGCCGGCTCCCAGAAAGAGAGGAAGGCCTCGCAAAAATTCTGCGGCTGCTGAGCAAACAACAACGGCCAACAATAATGATAAGCAAGGAGGAGAAGAAAAGGAATCGACGAAACGGGTTAAAGTCAGCGAGAAGAAAGGGGAAGCTGGATTACAAGTGGAACAGCAAGCTGCTGCTGCTGCTGCTGGTGTTAGGAGAAGCAGCCGCAGGAAGAGCAAACCCAGAAAGAGCAGCTGATAGAGATATCATAACACCAACCACTACAAAACACAGAAACAAACACAAAATCTTTCGGTGTTTTTTCGTCTGTGAATTACTAGTCCCCTGTACCAGCAAAAAATGAGGAGAAGGTGGATTTCTGGATTGCTTTTATTTATTTATTTCCACCCCTTCTTCATTCATACTTCGCCACGGTACAGAAAGCAAAGATTGTATTACCCTTTAGGGCATAGTTCAGAGACCATAACCCAAATCAATCATTATAACTTTTCCTTAATGGCTACGAGGTTAGGATTGGTGGAAACTGATGAGACACAGCAAACTTCAGGAACGAAGAGAACAAGCCAAGAAATCAGCAAACAACATGCACGGCGAACTAAAGCATGCGATAGAAACTAGCATTTAGTTATTTTGATCAATTATCGGATTATTGGGACTATTTCGGGAACTGGGAAATAAATTATATGTCGGGTAGCAGTAGGGAATTATCCAATTATTATATAACTTACTTGTAAGTGGGATTAGGCCACTAAGCAAGATTATACCTAAACCTAATTGCTCACTTTCCCTTAGGGGTGGACAACGGGACGGGATTGGGTACCCGTCCCGTTTGAAACGGGTACCCGATCCCATTTGGAGAAGAAACTTCATCCCATATCCCAAACCCATACGGGTTAACGGGTACCCATTACCCGTACGGGACGGATAACGGATACCCGCGGGTACCCATAAATCTATGTGGTTTTATTGGCAGCAATACTTGCGCGGATTATTTCACTTCCAAGGAGGACTTCTCTTGTTTTCTTCTTATGGAAGGAAGTGCACATTCTGATGAGCAATGATCATAATAAGCTTATACAACTTGTTAACAGGTTCACTTGCTAGCAATAATTGGTCAAACCCAATAAAGAACAGTGAGAACGATGGACCAGCCAAACTTGTCCTCATAATGGGCTCTATTCTCTTTGTTCATTTTTGTGATTGAGAAAAATCATGATCATTTGCAATGTAGCAGTGCTACTGTTGGCATGGCGGCGGTGGTGAAGAAGAAGACAGGTCGAGTAATAGCGTTAATAAATAATAGAGTAGGAAGTTGATGGTGATGAATAGCAAAGAGGCAATGGACAAAATGGAAGACATGCTCTTCTGGGAAATTTGTTTAGCAGTAGGCTACCTAGGCCTTTACTAATCTTTTCTTAAATGACTAATTTGAAGTTATTAATATGCTTATGTTCAATCATTGTAATTTCAAACTAATGGCTTGGGTGGACGGGTAGTACGGGTATCCGTAATACCCGAACGGGTATTAACAGGTAACCCACGGGTACCCATTATCGAACTTCTTGATCCCAAATCCCATCCCATATAAGAAATTACGGGTATTTGGGTACCCGTAACCCTCAATAAATGGGACGTGTATGGGTATACCCAAATACCCGTTTCCCGTTGTCCACCCCTACTTTCCCTCTCTCCCTTCCTATGGCCGCCGAGCCCTCTTCCTTCCTTTTCCCCTTGGCTGCCGCGGCGACACTTCTTCTTTCCTCTCCTCTCTTGATCAAACCCAAAATTCACTCCTCTCTCCTTTTCCCCAAATCTCCGGATCAATCCCTAGTCGATCCAAATCCCTAATCGTTCGGTAGAACTCGGACTCGAGTTCTATCAATTGGTATCAGAGCCAATTCTTCCTTTGACTGGCATCATGGTGTCCACCAAGTCCCAAATGGCGGCTGAGAAAGCGGCCAAGGCTGCACAGGAGCAAGCGGCGGCGGCGGTCGGGCTGCCGGAGAACACCCAGGAGGCGCCTACAGGGGCTGCACCCACGTCCAAGGCTCCGCAAGGGCGGCACGGAAAGGAAAGGGCAAAATGCCCAGTTATGACACGGAGGGGCCTCCGGAGACTGTTGGGCCCGAGATGATGAGCCAGATCGCAAGAAGCACCAATGGGCTTGGATGGTTGGACCTGGAGGCCGAGCCCGAGGAGGGCGAGTTCAGTTTGGTGGCTCGTCCAGCGTAGTGGGCCGACCCAGAGGGGTGGCGGACCAAGCCGGGCAGCTGAACCGATCGGGCGGGCCGGCCATGGGTGGACCATGAATGGTCAGACCGACGTCGGGCAGGTCGGGTCAGGGCGGACCAAACAGGGGCGAATCGGAGCGGGGTGGGCCAGCAGTGGTCAGCCCGAGGCGGGTCGGACCAGGGTCGAGTGGTCCAGTAGTGGTCGGGCCGAGGTGGGTCGGACCGAACACAGACTGAACCCAACTAACCAGCCGCCTAGGGGAGCGGACAGCAGAGGATCGGCATGTTGGAGTGCTCCGTATGGGGCGCACGACGTTCCTGGGGGATATCCGGACCAGCAAGGAGGCTACCAGGGGTACTACGGGCCAGGAAATCCGAGCAGGGGGCAGGGGTTCTCACAGGGGCAGCCATGGAGGACACTGGGTAATGACAGGTATGGGTCGTGCTATCCTAGCTATGAGGGTACTGATGGGATAGTTTTTCGAGCTAAGCCTCCTACCATTGAGTTTCCAAAATTCAATAGGCAAGAGGATGCAGGCCTCTGGTTATATGCAGCTGAGAGGTGGTTTCAGAACCACCCGATTCCTGAGGAAAGGAAGGCCTACCTGGCGTCCTTCTATTTAGAAGGTGATGCGCTTCAGTGGTCGGAGTGGATGGAGAGATCGTATGCGGCACCGAAGCAGCTCGCGAAGCTGAAACAGACTGGCACGCTGGCTGACTACCGCGCAGAGTTCTTCAAGTTGGGTAACCAGTGTAAGGGAGTTCCGGAGGACACCCTGGTGGGGCTATGCATGGCGGGTCTCAAACCCGAGATAGCAGCGGCAGTTCGAGTATTCGAGCCGGGTTCTTTGAAGGCTGCTTTTCATCTTGCAGGTCACAAGGAAGAAGAACTTGCCAGCTGGAGGAGTACCATTGGCCGTTACACAAGGCCAAGTGGAGTGGGCGGCAGTAGTGGGATCGGAGGCAGCGGAGGAGGAGCAGCGGCGGGACGCGCAGTAGGGGCGAGCACCGAGAGCGGGAACACTGCACCAGTGACCAAGGGAGGGCCTCGGCCCATACCAAAAGGGTTCGTGCGGCTATCTCCAGCAGAGATTGAGAAGAAGAGACGGGAGGGCAAGTGCTTCAATTGTGATGGCCGATTCACCATTGGTCATCAATGTCCGAAGCCGGATTTGATGATGCTAGTGGGACGATGGGAGGATGAAGCAGAGGACGCGACTGAGGACGTCGGAAATGGCGAAGAGGAGACCCAGTGAGTTAGAGGACCAACCTTGAGGACAAGGTTGTTTTCCGAAGGAAGTGGGGATGATAGAAACTAGTATTTAGTTATTTTGATCAATTATCGGATTATTGTCATTTCAGATTATTGGGACTATTTCGGGAATTGGGAAATAAATTATATGTCGGGTAGCAGTAGGGAATTATCCAATTATTATATAACTTACTTGTAAGTGGGACCAGGCCACTAAGCAAGATTATACCTAAACCTAATTGCTCACTTTCCCTCTCTCCCTTTCCTCTGGCCGCCGAGCCTTCTTCCTTCCTTTTCCCCTTGGCTGCCGCGGCAGCACTTCTTCTTTCCTCTCCTCTCTTGATCAAACCCAAAATCCACTCCTCTCCTTTTCCCTAAATCTCCGGATCAATCCCTAGTTGATCCTAATCTCTAATCGTTCGGTAGAACTCGGACTCGAGTTCTATCAGCATGGCTGAAATATGTCAGCAGCTTCCCAGCCTCAAATTCAATACGTTTGGGCTGGATGCTTGGTTAGGGCCATCTACCAGTTCGCCACTGGATTTTCATGGTAAACGAGACTGTTGCTGCTGGATGTTCTCGTCCTGGTGGCGGCTCTGCTAGCGAGCCATCTACCTTCTCATGATCGTTTTGGTTGCGGCCACGATCCCCCCTCGTCGTGCGCAACGGACCTGATCGATTTGTTGACGTCGGCGACGATGACGTTGTACGTTCACCTCAAGTACTGGGACGCCGTTCCGGGTCTTGAGGTGAAAGATGCCCTCGTCGGCCTGTTGATGCAGCGTCTCGTTTACCGGACCTCGGTTGAGGACTGGATCTACTTCTGCGTCGTCTGGATAGCCTACAGGTGCGCCTCGATGCTGCTTCAATACATTGTGGGAACGTAGTCGTCGTCGTCCTCCGGTGGTGATAAGGTGGCGGCAGCGACGAATTACAACACCTTCGACGAGCCCTCCGCCTCCATAGATAATGTTTGATCTTTGATGGACCTCCTACTCCTATTTCAGACAGGAACAAGATTTTATTAAGTATTTACTCATTGTTATATATTTTCTTAATTAATAATTAGGAGTGGATTGATTCTATATTTGTACTTCCTTGTGAGTGATTATTGGTTAACCGTCAAACTAATATCTAACCGAACCGATAAAAGATGGTTAATTGATAAAGCTTATCGGTTCGGTTATCGGCATTAGTTTTTTACCTTTTGAATTAAACACTAACTGTCGTATCAATTAGTGGTTAACCGACACTGTACCGATTAACATCTCTACTTGTCTCCACCCTACAATGATGACCGAGAGAATCGCTATGTACTGCCATTTCTGCCCAATCAAACTGGTTTTCCCTATCATTGGATGATATACTTTGCTAGTCACGTATGTGCCAGGAAAGAAACAAGCTATAGAAGCGGGAGGGGCATAACCATGTTGCAAACCCGACGAGGAAACGGGCAGCTGAGATTCAACTTGGTCCAAAGCCGATGAGTAGAGTCTTAATGATCAAAGAAACAAGCTATTACTAAGCCAGCTTTATCATCACAGAAGGTTATGATGAATCTTATATCACTCTTTAATACGCCCTCTCTATCAAAAGCCAACTCATAGACTTGAAATTTGCACAGACTTATCATAACTTTAGCTTTAATCAACGGTTAATATTAGGGTCGTGGAGATTCGAACATACAACCATTTGGTTAAATCAGACTATGATACCATGTCATAAACCAATTACTCCCAATATTATTGGAAAAAAATTATGATGAATCTTATATCACTCTCTAACACACCACAAATCTCTAACACAGCACAAATGAATACAGAATTTCCGCAACTCTTCAACCACCAAACTGTGTAAAACAGGATATTGTATGTTTATAAATAATTCAATCGTGACGAGAATCACCGCCAAAAGGCCTTGTTCGAGTCCCTTGTTTGCTGCCTCCGGGCTCGTTTGTAATTTTGTTATAGTTTACTATCCCTGACAGAAAGAAAAGAGAGAAGAAACGAAAAGCAGAGACTCTAACTCTGTCTAACCTGATCGATCAGGGCTTTGGTCTATGATTCCGCTCTTTCCTATATCGAGCTTGATCAGGATCAAATCCACCTTCTTCAGCGCCATATACAGCCCATGAAGGTGTTGCAGCCATGTAATCCGTACTGTCGAAGGATTTCCCAGAAGCAACCTGCATAAAAGCATGGGAGGAAAAGGAATACCCTTTAGCTCTTCATCCACTTTGGCCAACTCGTTTAGGCTTGGGGTAACTCAGAATAGTTAACGGTTCCTACCAGATCATGGAATTTCTCATAGTCTATCCAGGTAAACCACTGGCCGTTCACTTTGAACTTGTCAGTTTTAGCCAGCAGGACGCAACACGAGTGGGCGTGCTCACAAGCAACTTCGTACTCCCCTTTGCTCTTCAGTGCTATTGCCTCTGAGAAGGCCTTCACATCAGCATGCCACGGCACATTCTCCATCGTCAGTTTTGATGTTGCAGACCTGGATAGTGGTGATGGGGAATTATCAGATACAAGTGTCAGTGTGATTGAAAACTATGTAACATTGGAAGAAACAACTTACGATCCACAGTAAGTGACGCCTTTGATTTCGACAAAATCGGGCTGCCCAAGGCTGAATAGCTCAAAATAAGCATCTAACTCTTCTGTGTTCCACCCTTTGACCAGTGTCAAACGGTACACAGTTCGCTGATGTTTATCCCTCAGAGCTGTCAACGAATCCTAGCAGTTGTTATAAGAAAATCATTAGTTAATTTATGAAAACTAATTATCTCCGTTCCATCTAATAGAACAATGCTACAGAAAAATCAGTCATCATGTAGTGATGCAGAGTTGGCAACAGTCAATTACATACAGTGAACCGCTCCCAGAAGTCTCCAAAGAGTGGTCTATCAACTGCTTTCAGACTTTCTTTTGTTGCAGCATCTACACTAACATATAACTGCGCACATAATCAATCAAGTTAGTTTCCAGTTTCCAACCAGATTGAAGACATTTGGCAATCAGGAACTAACTATTAAGTGATCAAACCTGAGTGATAGGGTTGAGCATTTTTATTTTGTCTGGGAACTGAGCATTTGTCACTAGGAAAGTTGATATTCTCCTTTTATGTAGTTCATCCACAAGAGTGTTAATCTCAGGATACATTATAGGTTCACCGACTAGTGATAAAGCACAATGCCTGGGAGAGAGACCTTCAGCTAATCGCTCCTGGGTAACACCTGCAAGGATAATTATCAGGATATGAATACACAAAAAGTAGAATTTACACAGCAAAAAACCCGTCACTTCATTTGTCCAATATCACAACCTACCAGGAACTCCTTTCATTTGCTTGATCATCTTTCTATGCTGATCTAAGGCAGAATTAACAATTTCCAACGCGTGATCCATCTTCCACTGCCAGCTCTTTCCTACAGGATTCGTGTGGTGCCTCCAACAGAAGACACACTTGTTGGCACAAGCCAAACTTGGAGTGGCCTCCATACACCTGTTCAATTCAAAATTTGGAACACATTTAGAGAACCATATGTTCTAAAATCGAGAATGAGAATCAAGAAGAGATCAAATACTTAGAAACCATAATCCCTATGAAAGTACAAGGAATTCAAATCGCGAGTAGCAAACGCACTATACCTATGACTCTCTATCCCATAGAATGAATGCTTGTAGCAACCTCCTCGACCTCTGAGCTGAGATTTAGTCCATCTACAGATCTTAACACCACTATGCGAGCCAAGGATTTTGTAACCCTACAAATGGAAAAAGAAAACTGAAACCAGCAACCTAGATAGCAAAAGCATTTACAGAAGCTGAATCAAGCTAAAAGAAGCAAGCTTTTCAAAGCAATCTCACCTGTTTTTCCAAGTTTGCTCTAATCACAGGAGTCACCATTTCTTTAAGGCCATTGCTCAGTTTCCCATTAGTTTGAGTAGCTGCACCACCAGATTTCTTTGATGGGGCTTTCCCTGCTATATCCTCTAGATCAACGACCACCGATTCCAGGTCATCCTCCTCCTCCTCCTCCTCATCTTCATCACTGTAGAATTCGTCACCAATTCCACCATTGAAGCTCTGCTCAGCACTGACCCCATTCTCCAACCCACTTCCCTTCAATGCCTTGACGATCTTCCTGCTCCATTCCTCAAAAACGCTATCCAGCTCCCCACCATCGACATCGCCTTCCCCAATCGGCAAAATCTCATTGCCACCTAATCCTCTCAACCGTCTGCTGAAATCTCTAGCGACCGCATTATATGAATCCCCATAAGCTCCGCTCCCAACTCCAAACACCGCGAATCTACATTCAGAAAGCAGCAGCGAGCCGACTCTGAAATCATCGGCGCTCTCCGCGAGCCAATTGGCAAAGAATTTCGCATCCGCCGGCGGCTTCCCGTCTTCCCAAGTGGAAGCAACAATCAAAACTAGACTCTCCTTAGCCAGATCCTCCGGCTCGTAGCTTTTCACGTCGACAAGTTCGAACGAGATCCCGCTAGAGGTCAGGAGACCGTGGAGCTGGAAAGCTAGGGTTTTGGAAGTCCCGGTTTGGGAGACGAAGAAGAGCTTCCCTCTCTTCAATGAAACATCAGGTTGACCATTGGATTGAGGAATAAGGTTAGCGTTTACGGAGAGCTTGAGTAGCTTGAGACGGCGAGACCTGTAGAAGCAGTAGATGGAGGTGGCCGAGAGGAGAGCGAGCAGGGTTATTCGAGCCGGAGTTGAAGAGAACGACATGGCGGGAAAATTGGGATAAGTTCTTTTCATTTATTCGATAACGGGCAGAGCCCGGATGACGTAGCGCCGGAGAGATTGAGAAATGGGAACGGCGCCATGGTGGATACGTTTGTTGAAGACGAGAGTTTGCGGCGGGAAGACAGAGGAAGAAGAAGAAGAGTACGAAGTAGTGATGGCAATGGGGTCGGGCGGGTACCTCAATTCCCATGCCTCGCCCCACGCTATTACAGGTCGGGGCGGGTAAAACCCGTGTGGGTACGAGGCGGGGCGAGTCGAACCACTCTTACATGTTGTTCAAAAAAAATACAAGTAATTTTTACTTTTTACAATAAAAGGTAGGGAAAAACACTTTAAGAATGAAAAATATTGATCATAGAATGGATAATTGAGGCTAAAAAGTTGAAAGATCGATTCTAACTAGTTGAAGAAAAGTCAAAATATGAGAAATATGTATAGATATTGTAAGAAATTGAGATAAAATGAATCTAGAACGGGGCGGGGCAGGGCAGATCGGAAGTAGATACCCATGCCCCGCCCCACGCTACTGCGGGTCGGGTAATACCCGCCCCATCGCGGGTCAGGTCGGATAATACCTGCGGGGCGGGTTGAAATTGCCATCACTAGTACGAAGACGGCGACAATTCTTACTTCTTAGGGGTCGTTTGGAGAACGGGATTTAGGGCGTGGATTCATTGAATCCGTAGATTTTGTAGAAAGTTATGTTTTTTTGTTGCCTTTTGTATTGTGGATTTTAACTTTAGAGATTTCAAATCTCTAAAATCTATGGATATCAAATCTCTCATAATCAGATAGATTCTATATATTGAATCATGAGATTTTTTTTCTCCTACCTTTTCTCTTTCTTTTATTTATTTATCATATTAAATATACTTACTAACAAAGTTTTTAATATTTCTCGAACTACTCTAATTTTTTTATTAAGGATAAACATGTTATTTAATATAAAAAATTTAGTTTTATTTTCATTGAATGTTAACAATCACAGTTACCAAACAATAAACATTTTAAAATCTATTTTCAATAATTCGAAGAGTTAGAATTTTTAGATTGTTGACAATCTATAGATTTAAAGGAGAAAACGACCCCTTAGTGACTCGCGCCACCGGTGGGCCATTTTGGGCCGTTTCGTAGCTTTTTTGTTCAAATTGTTTTTGAAGTTTTGGGCCTTTCTTTGCAAATGGCTTTGACTAATTAGAAGCCCATAAGCCCAAGTACAATATCGGGCCCAATAACTCTAGCTCAAGTAGCTTTTGTAAATTGTTAAACTGAAGAGAAACAAAAAAAAAAAAAAAAAAATTGTGGCAGAAAAGAATCAGTAATTCAGTATACATTTTCTATGTTCTGTCAAGGCAATGGAAGAAACCCAAAACTGAAACTAAGTTGGCTTCGTAACACCTACTCTCTCTCACAAATCTCATCTTCAACTCATCCAAGTAAAACTTACAGGTACAGAATTTACAGTGAAGTTAAAATTTCCCCTCCATTTAGGGCCTCCACATGGTCTTTTGTGCACACAACATACCTTCTTTATCCTGAGCATAAGTGAGCCTCATCTCCCACTTCAAGCTCTTCAGTATCCCTTCCAAAGGAACCAGTATCTCAACTTTGTCCCTCACTATCACCCACCCGCCGGGTCTCAATATCCGGTCCATCTCCACGACTATCGCTACCGGCTGCTTACACCTGCCAAAAGAAAAGGAATGCCATGTTACTAGAGCAGCATTGAGAGCTTCACAGTTGGGAGAAAAAAATCAGAAATCCAGCAGATGATCACCACACCTGTTCTTCAGCCGAGAAAACAGATGGTCAGCATGGAGAAGATCGTACGATCTTGGATAAGTACTGAAAGGCTCGCACCAATCGTGGTAGACGCCAATGAGCCCACGCTCGTATACTATGGGAAGTGTGTCTGGTGCATGAACCGGAACCACATTCATGACCCACAAGTTCTTCTGCGATTGTGAAAGCGCTGCAGCAAATCTGTGTTCCAATATGTACCACGCAAGAAAAAAGTTACTACCTAATACGATGTCTACAGGTTACGGCTTTGTAAGACCCTGTACTATTCAAATTTATCAGACGTGTCCATGTACTAAAATCCAGTACTTCTGTGCCACTATAATATGAAACGTGATCAAAGGTGTCCTTTCATCCAAGATTATTTTAGCAGAATCTTAGACCGAAGGACACACTTGATCGCATTGTGTAGCATAAGGGCGCAAACGTACTAAATTTTAGTACAAGACCATGTTTGATAACTTTTCAAACTTTCCATAATGAAGGGGCATAAAGTGCCTTTAACCCACAGATAGATTGGTACAGCAATTGATATATAGTGACAATCTTTGTATTGAGCATACCCTCCGTGGATGGCTTTCATGTCCATCACATTCCGTATGCTCGACCAGTCAATACCGATTCCAGCGAGATAGGACTTATCGACTATTGCTTTCCAGTGGCTAGAGTCAGCAATCAGTCTCTCTTTGTTGCTCATCCACTCTGGATAAGTCTCAAGCCTCTTTGGCCAGTCCTCTGGCCATTCTGTCCCACGTTGCTCAATTGACAATGGGATAGTGTGCAAGCAGGTTTTTATGGGAACATACCTGATAATATAGGAGTGGGAATTAATTCAAGAGAACAAAAGTTTTCCGGTAAATGATACGGTGTTACTAAAGCTCACCAAGCAGCATCTGGATTTTCGGTTTCTTTGCAGATAGGCGGGTTTTTCTTCCTTCTGAGTTCATATATGTCATTTGAATCAGGCTTCTGATATATTTTCACACTCACATCACTATCCTCGTCAGTTTTGTGAGCCAGAATGTTCCAGCAGAGTGATGCTGTTAGCTTCGTCATGGCTGAAAAGAAGAATGGATAGGTGAAACAACGGATGAAGTGAGCTTTTAAGATAATTGAATGCACCATAATGAAGAACCTGAATATATCAACGTGGATTCTGTACCAAAAAATGAAGAATGTGAAACTGACTACTGAGTTACTGACCATATTGTTGAAAATTCAAACACAAGATACAAGGTCAAGAACTAATTCACTCCAATCACTCAAACTTTTGGAGAGAGCCAAGTGTGAATTCTATATCATTTCCCTTACAGAACGAAACTAGAAACTTAACTAAGAATGAAATTGTTCACCAGGGGTTACATAAAGCTCTTAAGATGCATGGTGAGGCATGAACCTGACCTTCTTCAACTTCAATGTTGTCATGCTTACTGGACAAGATAAAATATCCGCCGGGCCTCAAGAGTCTGTTCATTTCCAGAAGTCGCTTGCCCTCTAAAGAAACGTAGCAAAATGGCAAAGTCAGGACATCAGAACTCAAGGAATAGTGTGAAAGTTACTTGCAGGATGCCAGAAACCAATAAAGCCAAAGAGCGAAGGACAACAGACCATTAGAATGCCAAGGAATGCCACAGCTGAAACAGTGGATAGCATCAAATACACCACTAGGGAAAGGGAGCCTTCTAGTCCCAAAAGGACTGACTATGGCAGGAAAACCACGCTCGAGGGCAACCTGACCTAGGTCAACTAAGTCATCCTTCAATCCAAGCACTAAAGTCAACACATCTTTGTCAAGCAGGGATGCTTCAAAGCTCGAATCTCCACATCCAATGTCCAAAACTATTCGAATGTTCTTTCCCCATTCAATGTCTGGTACCATCTACCAAAACATCACCATCACCATATAACCATCAACTTCCAGTCCAAGAGTTAGAATCATACTCGACGAGCTATATAACCTTCAACATATAGCAAGCAACCTGAACTCTAAAATTCATACTCTATTGCTTTAACTTGAAACCATACCTCCTCAATGAAGTCAAGGTAGTGCCCAACTCCACCCTTGAATTCAGTCTGGTTCTGAGGAAAGGCAAGATATTCGCCAGACTGCACTAACCAACTGCTTCTCTTAATAAAATCCGCAAGCTTAGGATGTGCCACATTCTTGTACAACACCTACAAACAACAAACACATAACAAGCTAGATTGTATCACCAATACCACTAAATCCTTAAAATGGCTAGACAAACCGCCCTATGTCCGTTCATACATACATATTACCTTAAGTTTGCTCTCAGGCCAACGAACTGGAGTCCCATACCCTTCATGAGGGAGAGGAACAAGGCACATTGGAGAGTTTCTTGGACAACTCCTCTCCGTATGCCTATAGCTTTGCAACTTCCCACTGCTGGTCTCCATATCAATGCAAGGAATGTAATTGAACTTGCTCCTCGTGTTGCACAATCTCCAACTGTAATGCCCATTTGGATCAAATACAGGACCTTTAAACTTCTGCTTCTTCCTCTTTTCGACCTTCACGGAACCTTCATCTTGTTCTTCCTCTTCGTTCTCTACTTCAACCAAATCCCCATTCTCATTTCTCTCTCCCTCACCTACTTCCTCCTTTCCATCCACCACTTCCCCTGCCTCTTCTTCGTCTTCATCAGTTGCAGAATCCCCCTCTTGCCCATTTTCTTTAACCCCCTCGGAAGATGGAACCTTTTCAGAAGTCCCATGTTGTTGCCTCTGTCTCTTGACAGGTTTCGCAGTCTCCTGATGATGATGGTGATTTTGGTGGTCTTTATTGCCCGCAGGAGCAGACCCATTATTCACCTTGTGCGTCTCCTGTTGCTTCGACTCCAGAGCTTTCTTAGATTCCGAATCAGTGGAGGGTTGATTCGAATTCGACTTGTTGACCGGTGGAAGCGGTATGGACCGGGAGCTGGAACTCGGTTCCGCAATGTCATCGAAGCTCTCCCTTTGAGTGGTGACAGAGGAGGAAGGAGAGGAGAAAATTGACCAGACGAAGATGAAGCAGAGACCCAGTATTCCTACAGCCGTCGTTTTCGCGCAGAGCCCAAATGGGCGCTTGGCTTGGCGAGCTAGTCGAGTCATTCGAGCCAACGCCATGGCTCTTAGCCTCTCCAACTACAAAGAATCAGCAAAAATAAAAAAAGTAATAAAGGTGGAATCTTTGAATTTCTAAATCGGGAAGAAGGGGGAAACGGAAGTCGGGGAGATCGGGAGAAAGATTCCGAGTTGCGGGAAGAAGGTGAAGATCGAAGCTTGAACTGGGTAAGAAGCAGTCATGATTTTTGGGGGATGCAGAGAGCAAGATTTCTTCTGAAGTAAGCTATAAATAAAACAGAGAATGTGCAGATAGAGATTTCAGTTGAGACAGACAACAAAATCAGGAGATCTCTGCATTCTGGGGTTTCGTTAGCTGAGGATGTCTGTCTAGATGTAAAGGGGGGAAAGACGGGGATTGAACTTTGAAGAAGTGGAGTGGGCTCAAGTTAGGGTGCATAACCATGGGTTATGCACCCATCAATAACCAAATTTGGACCCTTCATTTAGAAAATCTAGATTTAAGGATGGAGAATTAAAGCTCATTTTTATTTTCACTAGCTTTCTTAATTGACTCATATCTTTTTCGTTTTAACTCGGATTTTAGTTTTTTTTGCACAGATGGAACGAGTTCATCGTGCTCTACAAAATGAGATCAATTTTCAATATTTTTTGAGGAAAAAAAAATTCTGGCCTCTCGGTACCAACTGCATACCATATGGTATCTTCTTCGTTTTTAATTCCTTTTTGAAAACGTTTGCATAGTAGGGACGAGTTCATCATGATCTATTGGATCTACAAATTTCTGGGTGAAAAAATTACAAGACAAAAAATACCACACAATACCATACAATACCACCCTGGTACGGGGTGGTATTTTATGGTATCTTATGGTATACAATGTTAAAAAATCGTAAATGACAATTAATATACTTCTACTATCATGTATTCAACCATCCTACAGTTTTGGTTGGTGTCATACCACCATGGTACGCTTTTCAAACCATAGGTATGCTCTTATTTCAATACCAGTCAATACCATATGGTATAGACTGGTATAAAATGACTCGGTTTTTTTTGTTCGAAAAATATATCAAAGTGAATATCATTTTGAAGAGCACAATTAATCTGATCTAACTGTGCAAAAAAAATTAAATTTCGACTTAAAACGAGTGAGAAATCATCCGTCAAAAATTAAGGAGGGAAAAATTAAAAGCTTTCCACGAGATAGAGGATGCTGATGTCATGCTGATGTAGGCGGGTTACTCATAGTTACTCACCATAAGGTTACTGACCTGATCCATTCCCAGTGGAGTGTTGGGACTGTGGAGATGAGGTTTTCTGGTACGTCATTGGTTTTTCCGGACAGAACCAGATGGTAAAGAAAGCGCCTTTGTTGGGAAGTGTTTTAAAGCAAGACCGAAGACAGACGGAAGAAAAACCGGCCGAAATTCGGGGGGAAATGTGCCAAGAGGCGGCGGCGCGTGGCGGAATTGGGCAATCGGGCGGGCCGAGAACTGGTGGACTTGGTTGGCATGGGCTCGCTTTCAGTGTTGAGTATGTGTGGGCTCTCCAGAGTTTCCTTCTTCCAGAAGATAGCTCTTACATGAGGAGGAATACAAAGAAGAAGACGATCTACTTCGAAGTTAAAGAAATAAACTCAGAACCTCAGGTGACAAACTCAGGACATAACCAATCGTCATATCGGCTATCCTATTTTTTCAAACGACCCACAAACAATAACTTGTAATATGGTGCTCCATCAAGAAGATGATGCACTTCCATGAAAATTCTGCCCCGAAACAATTTTCAATTAGAATTAAAAGAAAATGGATGTAATAACTTTGAAAAAAGTTCGATGGTAAGCCAGGTTTGGCATAATCAGATTGACATAATTACATCTATTCCTATCATATTGTACAACTCTCTTCTCCCACATTTTAGCGGTGGGGCCCATTGCATAGCTTAGTATGTCGTTTGATCAGAGTTACATTTGCCAGTCACCACATGAGCATCTTCACAAATGGCCACATTACGCTAGTCCTTGTGAATACAATCCTAAAAAAAGACCCTAAAACATTTTAGCGGTGGGGCCCATTGCATAGCTTAGTATGTCGTCTGACCAGAGTTACATTTGTCAGTCACCACCTGAGCATCTTCACAAATGGTCACATTACACTAGTCCTTGTGAATACAATCCTAAAGAAAGACCCTAAAAGCTAGGAGTTTCACACAAAAGGGATCACACACGTATGGTAGCGATGAGCCAAAGTCGCACAAATGCGCCTATTTGAATCCTGCGGAACTATGCCATCAAATTAATACCAAAAACTCGTATGATTGGCCAATAGCATTTGGCCAACAACAATGTGATCTGAAGCGAATATTATACTCTTTGCACATGCGAAGAATGAGAATAAGGTTACTGATTTTTTTTCATCCAATCAATCTCGATATATTATGGACAAATAGTTCGAGATGTTTTTCATGAATAACATAGATATTCACAAAATGCGTTAAAAATATTCATGACACATATTAAGAGTTTTTATAATATATATTGAGAGAGAGTCACGTAACATGTTAAAAGTATTCATAATGCGTGTTAAATGTATCCACAACATGCATTAAATATATTCAAGATAAATAAATCTAGTGTGTTGTATGAATATGTCAAGTGTGATGTGTGAACAACTCAATCTACTCACTCACAGCACCTAAATTTTTTTTCTATAACATATCAACATGACAAGATTGATGTCATTATATGCAAACAAAATTATGGATAGTTTATTTACCTATTTTTTTAGAAAAGAATATTTTAACTAAAATATAATAAAAAATTTCCAGCATGTCCTCACAAATACCATCACCGTGATATTCAACGGGGAAAAAACAAATATCACCATAAGCACCCTAACCACATTGTGGTGTAATTGTGTAAATGTGTCTACAACGACCAATGGAATAATTTGATCTTATTGTAACTTTTCCACTAAAAGCTTAACACCATCAGTCCAACACAATGCTAGTCCAACAGCCTCAACCCCTTCTATTCTTGAAACCCAATTGCATTTGTAGACCATTCCATTCATATTATTTCATATTTGTTCCCGTCAAGAAGAGGATTTGAGGAGATTCTTCCATCACCATATCCTTTAACTCTGAAACATCTTTGTTGGAGTCCAAACCCTCGTTGTAGCGTCACTAAGTGAGCAAAGCAAACATCGAAAGAAAAGCCGCCATGGAGAGTATAAAATGAGAAAAATCAAGAAGTTGAGCTGGTTGAAATCGTCGAGAGATCATAAGACAAGAGAGATTGGAGAAGAAATCAAACAATAGAAGAGTTCGAGAAAGACGAAAATTACTCATTGTCATTTGTCAGTTTGTCACAAATCCATTATTTCCTTAGGTTGATTGTATTATATCTTTAAAACAAGGCACATGAAAATATACTTCTCCCCTCTCTTAGTGCATGTAAAATTAAACAACTAAAAGATATGCAAAAAGGAACATCAAGAAGATTACATATTTTCCCCCCTCTCCGTGTCTGAGTTAAAAATACTAACAATACAATTTGAATACGTGAATTTGCTAAACATCCAATCCAAGACCTGCAGCGTAAATAGCGTTCTGAAGGGGAAGGAATAACTTATGGAAATATGAATATCTAATCAACAAATCTGCAGCAAAAATGCCGACTTGCTAGCATCAAAACACATCACTTACAAATAACTTCACAATATTGAAATAGAAGGATGATTGACAATACCTTACTGATTGGATATGCAACAGGGTATAAGAGAACAAGCAGGCAGCGGACAAGGGGAGCCAACGTTGCTCCGACGGTCAACCCATAACGTGTGCATATTACTTGTGGCAATATCTGTTATCAGAGGGACAAGCACGTAAAGAAGACCGAGAAGTCACGGTTGATACCAAAATGACATCCTGATAAAGCTCAAGAGATGGTTTCGAAACATATACCTCCCCAAACAGAAGAACAAGAGTGACTGGCACCAAGATTGCAATGTACGGAGGTGCAAGCTTGTCCAAGCATATAGGCAGAGCCTGGGATTCAACAAACAACGATTGGAAACACACGATACTGCTATAAGCCTTTTGAGTTCGTGAGGAGACACCATCATGAAGAAACGCCATAGAATTTCACAAATTCTTTTACCTCCATGGCAAGAGCATTGTCGATCAAGAGAGTACGCAGCAAAAGGTGTTGATTCTTTACCACTGGAAATATCTTGGCTGCAACGAGGAACCATATAATTCAAAACAGTAATGTCTCGAAATTCTGATCCCAAATAAGTCACTGGTAACATATTTTCCCTATGAGTGAGTAGTTAATTGATTTGATTGTTCAAGCTACTAACATGTGGAGCCATAACATACTCCAAACGGGCCACACGGATGCATCAATTTAGTGAAACTGAAATTCTCGAAATCGACCCCGTCGTGCAGGTGGCAACATTGCCCTACTACCGAGTAAACTAAATTAATAAACATTCTCACGAGTTGGGAGTCCCGACTCGTTGGGTTAACTCGCTAAGAAACATTCAATGAAAACAGAGATAAACAAACAAAGAATTAAATGCTCTGCAGGGCATATGCAATGAACGGTTTTCAGTTGGTAACTTTAACGGTGGGAACATGCTTGATAACATATTTGTAGTATAGGGGCACGTTTGATAATAAAAATAGTACATGGCATGTTTGATAAAAGTTCATAGTGCAGGGGCATATAAAAATGTCCAATCCATTTTTCCTTAGATTGATTGTATCATATCTTTAAAACAAGGCACTTGAAAATATACTTCTCCCCTCTCTTTGTGCATGTAAAATTAAACGACTAAAAGATATGCAAAAAGGAACATCAAGAAGATTACAATTTGAATACGTTAATTTGTATATGAGCTTCCTCCGTACTACTTGTATCCCATCTCTTACATAGGCTACCGTACCTTTAACATATCAACATTTACCATAACAAATTCTTAATCTTTAATAAGAAAAACATTATATAAAGCACCTAAATATTTTACATTGTGTTCTCTTGTTGGTCTATTTATAACAATACTTCATTATATTATTGTTTTGCTTGTGACTTAGGTTTTCAGGATCCATGTATAAGAGAAATCCGACGTCAACAATATAAGGAGATTGTAATATAGCCCTCCTTGATTATAGACACTTGTTCATCATTAGTTTGAAGATTATTCATTGTAGTGGGTGAGGGTCCGGAGGAATTACCTATTGAGACATCGATAGTCAATGATGGTCTGGTCGACAATATAGACGTCGAGCAAGTTCCAGCATCGTTAACAGATATGGGGCCTGCACCGGAAGCCTGTGGGTGCAAGGGAGATGCATTCATGTTGACTTTTTATCATGCACTTTTTTGAAGTTACGATACACCCATATTAAACAAAGAATGGGGAGTGTTTGGGTAAATTATGGTACATGTGTCATTTTTAGACATTTTCTAACAATTCAAGTTACAATAATCAATATGTTCTCTATACAATATAAAAGCTAAGTTAATTAAGACGTCACGTGTACATATTCTAGTGTACCCCAATTGCAATATGTACAATGCAAGGTGGATCTATGCAAATTTAATCTTATCAGTTGATTTTGATTTTAGGGCACGTCAGAAAATAATATGTGTTCTATTATTTAACCTTTTCCAACAAATCAACTTATTTGAATGAAATTATTTCCCACTGTTACTAGCTAGCTAGATTTCACTTACTTGTTATGGAGGTTGATGTATTGTTTCATCCAATATCTCTTCCTGAAAAGAGAGACTACAAAATGAAATTCGTGAGATTAGTCTTTCATAAAATGTGAGTCTTTGTACAAAAGAAGAATAAACATTTAGGGTGCGCCTATGGTGACACGCATGTCACCGTAACTTGCAATTTTCAGTCGACCTCAATTAGGAGTAGGTCGACCTAATATGTTGTTTCAGTGTAAAAACAGTTTCATGGTGCCTACTTTGGAGATTCATATCTTACAATTGGCTCGATGGAAATTGAAGATTAATGGCTTGTTTTGAAGCTGGAGTGTCCCTCTACACATTGAAGTGCTTGGGAGCTCGATAGGAAGTCCAGAAAATCATTCTTGAACATGATCAAAAGGCTATTCCAAAACTGGTAAACTGCCTGAAAATGGCCAAGTCTGGGAAAGTGTTTGTGAAGCCTACTTTGGAGCTCAATTCGAGAAGCATGGATGAGATTCGAGTCCAGGGGCCTCTACCACATGAAAGTAGGTATGTTTGTCTACAAAGTCAAGGCATTGAATGAAATATTGGAGATCTAGAAGGCTTCAAACAAAAGGCTCGAAGTTGCTACAAAAGAAGAATAAACATTTAGGGTGCGCCTATGGTGACATGCATGTCACCGTAACTTGCACTTTTCGGTCGACCTAATATGTTGTTTCAGTATAAAAACATTTTCATGGTGCCTACTTTGGAGATTCATATCT